ATAGGAAACATTTCTTTGCTACTATAGGAATTTGCAGCACCACCAACAGATGCCCCTGATAAAGGATATGTTGGTAAGTTAATGGTTTTGTAATTTTAATACTAATACTTGTAACACATTTAATAATAATTTTAGTTAAGTCCTAGTTGAGTTGATGTAAAGAAAATTATTCCTAATATTCAGAAATATTTAACAATAAAACAAATTCCTCAAAAGTTTTCCGTATTAGTAAAAGATGGCATAATAGCAGGATATAGAATTTCATAAATTTAATCTTTATCAAACTTGCTTGCTCAATTTTTGTTTATATATTCATATGTTACTAACCAAGAAAATAGAACTTTGGCTGGGTGTGGTGACTCACACCTGTAATACCAGGATTTTGGGAGGCCAAGACTGCAGGATTGCTTCAGCCCAGGAGTTCGAGACCAGCCTGGGGAACAAAGGAGACCCCCGTCTCTACAAAAAAATTAAGTTAGCTGGGTGTGCTGGTGCACACCTGTGTCCCAACTACTTGGGAGGCTGAAGCAGGAGGATTGCTTGAGCCTGGGAGGTCAAGGCTACAATGAAATATGATTGTATCACTGCATTCAAGCCTGAGTGACAGAGTGAAATCCTGTTTCAAAAGAAAAAAATTGAACGGAATTTTTTTTAGTCAAAGAACTGTCATTGCACATTTTTTGTTTCCATAAAGATTCTTTGCTTTATACAACTGCTATTTTTTTTCTTGTCTTGGAACCATCTGTTCTTTACGGTAGGAAACAACATTTTCTTAAATGAGAAAAACAGTTGGATATTAGCAGAGGGTCTATCTTCAGTTACAGATTGAGGTATTTTGAAAGATACCAGGAAAACTTGTAAAGGATTTAGGAGAATTGAAGTCTAAAATAGATTTTTTAAAAATGCATATGGGGGGAAAAAAGTCAGAAAAATACAAATTTCATGCCTGGGAGTCTTACAGAGACCAAGCAGAATGTAACTATGTTACAATGTACTCTATTCAGAAAAGCCTGTCCATGGCCACAGCTGCCTTTACTGTGGATTGATACCTTTAACACTTCAGTAATCCATAAATTAAAAAGTTTAGGCCGGGCATGGTGGCTCACGCCTGTAATCCCAGCACTTTGGGAGGCTGAGGCAGGTGGATCCTGAGGTCAGGAGATCGAGACCATCTTAACCAATGTGGTAAAACCCCGTCTACCAAAATACAAAAAAATTAGCTGGGCGTGGTGGCACATGCCTATAATCCCAGCTACTTGGGAGGCCGAGGCAGGGATATCTCTTGAACCTGGAAGGTGGAGGCTGCAGTGAGCGGAGATCGCGCCACTGCACTCCAGCCTGGTGACAGAGCAAGACTCCATCTCAAAAAAAAAAAAAAAAAAAAATTTAGTTCATAGCTGCAGTGTTTCTTTCAGTTCCTAATGTGGATCTACCACCCCTGTGTTCATCGAGATTCCGGTCTGGACCTCCTGGAGAAGAGGCCCAAGTGGCTAGCCAGTTCATTGCAGATGTCATTGAAAAGTAAGAGCACCATGATAAAATTTTACTGTAATTCATTTTCAGATAGTTTTTGACTTTTCATTTACTTTGCTCTTTGTCATTAAATCAAGTTCACAGATAATTCAGAAAGAGGACTTATGCATTTCTCCAGGGAAGGTAAGAGGAATAGAGAAGCTATAAGTTCTTATTAATTCTGAAGAGATTTTTTTTGTGGGGGAAAGGGAACAAGGAAATTAAAATCACCAATCAAAGTAGCCTTAAATATGGCTGCTTTACAGATTTTAGAGATTCAGTCATTTCTTACTCTATAATGCTCTAAGTGAACCATATTGTTTATAAAAAACAAGTTTGACTAACTTACTGCCTGTCTGGGAGCTACCTTTTAAACTGAAGTAATTTTTTTTCCCCCTTAACCTTTAGAGAAAAGTTCAATCATTTTTTATTCCTTATAGCAGATTATAACATTGATCATATTAACATATGTTTTTGGTGAATCCACAGTAGATTCCAAAGTCTATTTGAAAATGTAAAACTAGGTTGATTAGAACCTAGAGAGGCTTTCCATAAACTGATACGTTAGCACTGTAAAACCTAAACATTTCATGTATTATGGGTAAGTGCATTTTGAATTTTAGCTAGGGCTTTCAAAACCATCTTCCTTATCTGTAACCTCCCACTAAGAATGGAAATTCCTTCTACATCTGTAGCTCCATTAAGGGAAATGGACATGTTTGTCATTTGTCAGCTTGGCAATCAAAAGCCAGCTTTCACCAAACCTGTCCACTTTCTTCTGGTTTTCTACTTGAAAAAGGTAAAGCATTTTCTTAAAGTTTTTGAGCCTTGAAGGTTATCTTGCTTGTTTAACCAAGGGTTCTGTGGTTCTTAAGTCTAAGCGAATAGCATGTTCTACCCATTAGAAGGCTTTAATTTCCTTTTGTGTTAATTCTATTTTAGCTTGCCTGGGTTCTATACTGTGATCTCATTTGCCTCGACTATGACGGAAACATTTTGGATGCCTGCACATTTGCTTTGTTAGCGGCTTTAAAAAATGGTAAGCAGCCTTACAAAAACGGCAATATTCCCACTAATGGGTTAGAATGTTCTGTTTTGTGAAACTTTTAATGTACATTTGCTTTCGTATGCTTCCAAATTAATGAATGTAATACTGCCATTACTTTCCAAATATAGTTGATAGTTGTATATTCTCTAACTGAATGCTCTTTAGAGTGCTGCTTTGACTGTACCCGTCTACTTAGGTTAGGACTTCAGTCCTTTCCATAAGTGTTAATAATGGTGGGAGAGGGAGACAAGACTTGTAACTTCTGGCTAGGTGATTGGTGAAGATCTGCCAGTATCCTCATAGTTCTTTATGTGATATTGCCAAAAGAATTAGAATGGATTCTGTTGTTTTTACTGTGAGGCCATAGTAATAGTGAAGTTTCTTAGCAAGGAGTCTAGGTTGACTGATTAGTTACAGATTTCAATAACTTGTGCATATTCCCTATCATTGGTGAATGATGAATTGGTAGGAACAAATAATTGGAGGTGGAAAATAAAGTTAGCACAGCAATATTATAATAGAGTGGTTAAGTGAATTGGAGGTAGAAAATGAAGTTAGCACAATATTGTAACAGAGTGGTTAAAGCAGAGACTTAGGTTTGATTCCTGGCTCTGTCACTCTGTGCTGGAGTTTCCTTATCTATAATAAAATAGGGATAATAGTATTTAGTTTGTAAGAGTATTGATTAGGTGAATACAATGAAAATGTGGAAATGCTTAAAACAGTACCTGGCATATACAAATTAGCTAGACATGTTATCTATTAGTAATCATTTTCATTTCAAAACTGGGTACAGTGGCACATGCCTATAGTCCCACCCAGCTACTGGGGAGGTTGAGGTGGGAAGATTGCTAGGAATTCAGTTCTAGCCTGGGCAACATAACAAGATCCTATCTCTAAAAATTTAAGAAAAAAATCATTTTGACTTCTTAAACTTAAAAAAATTATGCAATAAGCACTAGGTAGGCATGTCAGATGTTGTGAAGAGCAATGTATATCCTCTGTATTTACCTTAGTGGCTGTAAGGTGCTTTTTAAAAAGAAATGTTCTGGGCAAGTTCAATCGAGGGAAAGGTGAATTAAAAAAAAAAAAAAAAGCTTAAAAACCATTTGTTTCTTAGAGACTTACTTTACAAATTTGCCTTTTCTTAGTACAGTTGCCTGAAGTTACTATAAATGAAGAAACTGCTTTAGCAGAAGTTAATTTAAAGAAGAAAAGTTATTTGAATATTAGAACTCATCCAGTTGCAACTTCCTTTGCTGTGTTTGATGAGTAAGTTAATCAAACTTACTTTACAATTTTCTATATTTAAGATTTGGGTAATTGATGTTCAGCATTCTAACTCTTCAGGAAGTGCTATGGTGACTCTACATCCTAGTTTTCCCTGGACACTTGAGTTTATACTTGTCCCTGCACAATTATTTCTAGTCAGCCTGTCTGCTTTCATAAGCATCCTGATTTGGATGATAATTGTGTTCACTTTACCTGTTCCTTGGTTTACTTATACCTGTGTAATGTTAATTTCTAATTCTTTCACTAAAGATTTACCTGAAGCTATCTTCAGTATTTTCCAAGGATTTTAGCACATTCAGAAATAGTAGAGCAGGGCGAGGCATGGTGGGTCATGCCTGTAATGCCAGCACTTTGGGAGGCTGAGGCAGGGTATCACCTGAGGTCAGGAGTTCGAGACCAGCCTGGCCAAGACGGTGAAACCCTGTCTCTGCTAAAAATACAAAAATTAGCTAGGTGTGATGGTGTGTACCTGTAATTCCAGCTACTTGGGAGGCTGACAGTATGTTTAGTATTTTTAAAGTAAAATTTGTTCCATGGATTGATAACTTATACTTTTTTCTTTTTATAGCACTTTGCTTATAGTTGACCCTACTGGAGAGGAGGAACATCTGGCAACAGGAACCTTAACAATAGTAATGGATGAGGAAGGCAAGCTCTGTTGTCTTCACAAACCAGGCATGTTCCTGCCACTTCAGTCCTAAACATATGTAGATGAAAACTCAGTGTGAGCCTTAAATTAGGGAGGGCCAAATGGAATATGGGATATTTCATTTACCTAATTTAAGTTTACTGTAGTTTCTTAGCTACCTCAAATTTTCTTCCATCTTAATGGTATATGTCAGTGATTCTTAAACTTAAGACATACATTAGAATCACTTGGAGGTCTTGTGAAACTAACTTGCAGATCTTGAGACTGTACCCTGATTTATGTTATCCAATTTTTTTGTTTCATAATTTGATATGACATTAATGTTTTTTGAAAAGCAGTGATAGATTAAAAGTATTGGCAAAATCATTTTTCAGGTGGAAGCGGGCTAACTGGAGCTAAACTTCAGGACTGCATGAGCCGAGCAGTTACAAGACACAAAGAAGTTAAAAAATTGATGGATGAAGTAATTAAGAGTATGAAACCCAAATAAATAGCCACTTTTCAAAACAGATTTGTAAAAATTGTATTTGTTAACACTGTGCACAAACATTTTATACTAAATAAATATCAAACTACATTCTTCTGAAAGATGTTTCTATTATTTCTTAGGTCACTTCCATATAATGTATAGTGAAACCATTTTTAAAAAGCAATGACTTAGGCAAACCAACCCTAGTTTGTTAAACCATTTCCCTGTTTTTATTTAAAAATGATAAGGTTGTGCTTCTGTATAAAGTTTGTACATCTAGCAATGTAAAATACTGACACATTAAAAAAACAAAAAGTAGAAACTCAATCCTTTTGATTCAATGCTCTTGTGTTTTTAAAAAAGGAACAAAAAATAATGCAAGACTCAGAATTTTGGAGTGGTTGGCGTGCCTCTCTTCATTTTACTTTTTGACTGGCTGCCTGTATGCCGATGATGGTGTAGCTGAGCTGTTTGTGCTGCTGCTGCTGCCATAGCCATTTGATGCTGCAAGAATCGCAACTGCTGCAAAAGGGAGGGAAAAAATCGAGTTATGTTAAATGCAGGCAGGTGTGGAAAGGTGCTTTTCCTGAGAGTGACGAAACAACACAACTGAAAAAGGGAGAAAGCACCAAGATAACAAAAAGGGACTATACCACATTGAGACAATGCACAGTCAAACAGCACCAGTGGCACAGAAGCCTGCTGAGGGCTTTAAAAATGATTCTTGGCAAACTTCAAAATTATTTGTTACTTTGCCCTGCCAGTCTATATTGTAGTAACTCAGCAACTTCAGTTACCATTTTGTTGTATAATGATAGTTTATAGCAATATAAAACAACGCTGAATATCAAGATAGTCAACTATAATATGCTGACTTTCCTTCCTAAAATGATGGTATAACATTTTTCTAAATAAACAGGTATGACATTTACTAATAGGAACACTTTTCTGCAATAAAATATTAGAAAGTTAACAATTGGCACTTACAACTATCTATTTCAAAATACACTGCATACTAGAAAAATGTATGTTAATGTGCCACCAGCACTTCATGAAAAATTTTAAGAGTATGGCTTAAATGTACAAAATATATTCAGTGCTCCAAGTTGACTGGCTAAAATGTCAAGACTTTTAAATAAAATTTGCTAAATTATTTACCAATTACTGTACAGTCTTAAAAGACAGTAAAATAAAACTAAAGCAAGTTATTTTGAGGTACTTTTGGAGCTGAGTATCTTTAAAAATGTAATCAGAGTGAAGTTGCTGGATTACTTGTATCTGTTGCTGCTGCTGTTGAAAGGCAGAGGAGAGCTGGAATCTCTGCTGAGGAAGGCTTTGCTCAGGTCTGTTCTCGGCAGAGCCAAGCTGAGACAACACTACAGAGAGGAGAAGGGGAAAGCAGGCCAGTCAAAAAGTTTGAAGGCTACCAGGGTTAGAAAAGGACAACACAGAAAATGAAATAATAGAAAAGTTAGCAGTACGATTAATCTTAAGTATCAAATCATAGACATTTCAGAATAAATTTAGTATATGGTCTCCTGTTAGTTGGGGGTACCACTGATTATGGAACTTTCTGGACACAGAAGGGAGTGCATTATGTGTCAAAGCACTGAACCCCTCTTGCATCTGTATAAAATTTGATACTGGTGCTATTTTGTTTAGAAGAGTACATTATTTTTGAAATATAACCAACAGCAGGAGAAGGGAGATGGAAGAAATCCAAACTATCGTAACAACAAAGCTGGTAGACAGACAATTGCTTTAAACAAAAGATGTTGCAATGAATATCAGACTACTCTATTAACAACAGAGGTGATGAACTGAGACTGAGCATTGTTTGTTATTTTTTGAGCTGAGTGGAACCACAGTAATCAGTTCAACACTTATTTTACATATGAGGAAGTTTGAAGGCCAACATGATTTAAGTGACTTGGACTCAAATTATGGCAATCTGTGGCTAGGAACATTCTCATGACTTTTCAGACTAGAGTTGTCACTAAATTATACTAGAGCTATTTTCGGAAATTCACAACTGGGCTGATAAAGGTATATAATTACATAAACTTCTCTTTGGAAATTCACTACCTCTGAGTTGGAACTTTATATGTAAGGATTACTTACTTCCAAAATAAAGATTATTCTAAAAGACTTCTAAAGGCATAGTAAGCCCACAGTGATAAGATATTGACAACACAGTCACTCATTCAATCCTCAAACTCTTACAGCTTTCTTATACATGTGGCTTACTCTTTTAATTAAGTATAAAGTTAGAATTATCTTCAACTGACAGGAATCATTAAGAGTAATCTTTAGTTCACCATTTACTGTTGGGAAGTGTTGAGAAGTTAATCTTTTCTTAAATGACAATAGTGGCTTACATAAGTTATGCTATTGTCCATTAAGACTTAAAGTCATTTATGCAACTACAAATTACCAGAATGAAACAAAAGATTATGCAATCTAGAAAAATTCAGTCTTAACCCAGGAAAACGAAAAAGTTATTAATTAACATAACTACTGGCAAACACTGAAAACAGCTCTGGTAACCTAGTAAAGTGGATAATTATTAAATTTTGCCAGTAAACTGTAACATAAGGAAAACACAATCGTGGTAATTATGTTAAGTCAAAGCTCTTTTAATTAATGCACTATCAAATTAATGAAAAAAATCTCAGCCATTAATCAATTTAATAGTTCACACATTATAGCTTTACTTTTTCCTGTTTACTGGTTGCAAGGGAAGGAAAAGAAAATAAGTGGTGAGATCCCAAATAGATTGAATATGTTTAGTAAATTCAGCATATAAAGTTATGAAGATACCTACCAGCTGCCTGTGACTGCATAAAACTTCCTACTCCAGTAAGGTTAATAACAGCAGCTTGCTGAGCAGATAAGGCCTGTTCTTGACTGGTTGAACCTTGTTCAGAACCCTGAATAAAAAAATAAATGACTTGTACGAGGAAGAAAAACAAATTTGAGCTGGTGAAAATAAATCAGCATTTTTTCTGGTATGAAATAAAGCAGTATGAGACTAGTCTTGTAAAAAGAGTAACAAGGAAAATACTTCAAAGGTATTTAGAGTAAGCAAGAATTTATACCATTTGAACAAAGAAAACTTTCTTTTTCAGTGCATCTGTATTTATTGTTTGATGCTACCAAGATAATGCCTAAGGCTTTTATAAAGCTTCACCGAAACAATTTTTTAAAGCTTAAAACACTCCTTGTAACATAAACATAGTACTGGAACTTTATGTGTTTTGTTTTTTGTTTTTTGAGACGGAGTCTTGCTCTGTTGCCCAGGCTGGAGTGCAGTGGCGTAATCTGGGCTCACTGCAACCTCCGCCTTCTGGGTTCACGCCATTCTCCTGCCTCAGCCTCCCGAGTAGCTGGGACTATAGGTGCTTGCCACTACACCTGGCTAATTTTTTGTATTCTTTAGTAGAGATGGGGTTTCACTGTGTTCGCCAGGATGGTCTCGATCTCCTGACCTTGTAATCCGCCCGCCTCGGCCTCCTAAAGTGCTGGGATTACAGGCGTGAGCCACCGCGCCCGGCCAGCATATCGATTTTATAGGAAAAAATAAAATTGTCCTTATTTGCAAATGGCACAACTGTTTATACTGTAGAAAATCCTAAGCAATCTCCAAAACAGCTCCTAGAAATAGTAAGTTCAGTAAGAGGGCACAATACAAGATCAATATACAAAAATTAACACTATATATACTAGTAATTAACATGTGAAAACTGAAATTAAAAAAATACCATTCACAGTTACTCAAAAAAACAGAGAAAAGCTTAGGTATTAATCTTAAGTCTAAGAAAACATATATGGGGCTTGTATACCAAAAACTACAAAACATTGATTTTGGTCTAGATAAGGACATACTATGTTCATGTACTGGAAGACTTACATCATAAAGACGGCAGTTCTCCCAAACTGATCAACAAGCATAACTCAATTCTTTTAGAAATGCTGGCACGGTTTTTGTAGATACAGACAAGATGACTTTAAAATTTATATGGAAAGGTAGAGAACCTACATTAGCTACAATAATTTTGAAAAATGGTATGGCAGAAAACACTGCCCAATTTTAAGACACTACAATGAAGAAGACAGTGTGGTATTGGCTGAAGGACAGACACATAGATTAATGAAACAGAACAGGGAACCTAGAAATAAACCCACCCAAACAGACCCAACAGACTTGTAACAAATGTGCAGAAGTAATTCAATTCAGAAAGGATAGCTGTTTTTTTTGTTGTTGTTTTCAGCAAAAGGTGTTGAAGCAATTGGATATTGCTAGGAAAACAAAAACAAAAACATGGACCTAAGTTGCACACCTTGTACAGAAATTAACTGAAAATGAATCATGGATTCAAAATAAGAAACTATAAAACTGTTAGAAAAAAACACAGAAGAAAATCTTTGGGACCTAGGGTTAGGTAAAGAGTTCTGAGACATGACAACTACAGCATATTCCATAAAGGAAAGATACTGTCAACGTGGACTTCAGCAAAATTAAAAACTTTTGCTCTGCAAAAGACATCCTTTGAACATTTCAGTATATAATGGCAAGCCAAACATTCAAAAGATACATTTATCTTGAGGGGATCTCCCTGGATATAAAAAGAGATTGGACAAAAGAGCACAGAGCTGAAAGGTTCTATTATTGAATTTGGAACCCAGTTCATGAAATGAACAACAGAATAAGGCAGACCACATCACCACCATAATGGAACTATGATAAAACAAACAAAAAAAAACTACAGATGATATCAATTTCCCCCCGAAGCACTCCACAAACTTAAAGTAGACTGTAAGCCACCACCGCAAATGGAATATTCAAACAAGGAGGAATAATGATTAAACAAACATCCTGAAGAAAAACAAATACTAAGAAATAAAAGGACTCAGGCTAAAACTAAAAGGATGAAAAAAGATGTACTAAGCTAACATTAATCAAAAGAAAGAAACAAGAAATATTACCAGAGATAAAGGTGGTCATTTATTAATGATAAGGGGTAAATTAATCAAGGATGTAACAATCCTAAATGCATATGCACCTAACAATATGGGCTCAAAACACAACCTTTAGCAAAAGGAGAAATAGAAATTTCCAGTTTTGGTTAAAGACTTCAACACTTCTCACAGTAACTGATAAAACACTGAGAAAGAAAAGGATATAGAAGGCCTGAATGATGCCATCAAATGCCTTGCTCTAATACAGAACACTCCTAACAGCAGAATACACATTTTTTTCAAGCATATATGGAGTATTCATCAAGACAGATCACGTTCTCAAGCATTAAACAAACCTCAACAAACTTAAAAGAACGAAAAATATGTTTTCAGACCACAGTGGATTTAAACTAGAAATCAACTGCAGAAAGATATTTGGAAAATTCCCAAGTATTTGGAAATCAAACATATCTAAATAATTCATTTAAGAGGGATCCATAAGACAGAAAATTCTATGGAACAAAATGAAGGCACAGCATATCAAAATTTGTGGAAAGTGGCTTAAGCAGTACTGAGAAGGAAATGTATAACATTAAATGTTTATTTTAGAAAAGAATGACCTCCATAATCTAAGCTTCCACTTATGAAACTACAAACTATCATCCAAGAAAACATTCCAGAAATAAAGAAGTGACTCTACACATTAAAAGGATCCACAGGAAAAACATGGAAAAATCAATTCTGACACATACACCAGTGAAAATATTAGACAAACATTCAGGGCCTCTAGAAAAACTGCTTAAATAAACTTACAAGAGCAAGATAATTAGACTGGCATCAGATTTTTCAAAAACATACAAAGCAAGTCAACAGTAGGAAGCATTTTTAATAAATTTAAAGGAGACCTAAAACTAGAGAACATTTAGAAGAAAGCAAGTGAAAATGCTTCAGGACATTGGATTTGGCAATGATATTCAATATGATACCAAAAGCACAGGCAAGAAAAGTAAAAAGAGAAAATGAACTACATTAAAATTTTAAAAACTTCTGTGCAATGGATGCAATCATGTGAAAAGACAACAAATGGGAGAAAATATCTGCAAATCAAACATCTAATATATGTGTATATGAAGAATGAAGAACTCCTACAATCCAACAACAAAAATTAATCTGATAAAAAAAAAAAATGGGCAAGGGACCCGAATAGACTTTTCTCCAAAGATGATATACAAATGGCCAACATGCATATGAAAAGATGCTCCACACCACTAATCATTATGGAAATGCAAACCAAAACACAATGAGATTATTACCTCACACCCATTAGGATGGCTGCTAAAAAAAAAAAAAAAAATCCCCGAAGACCCAACCACCACCAGCAAATAACAAGAGTTGGCAAGGATTTGGACAAATTGAGATCTTTGTATGTTGTTGATGGGAATTAGGTAAAATGGTACAGTCACTATGGAAAACAGTATGATGCTTCTTAAAAAATTAAAAATCACCATATGAACCAACAATCCAACTTCTGGGTATATATCCAAAAGAGCCAAAGACAGGGTCTCAAAGAGATCTGTATACTCACATTCACACTAGCATTATTTACAATAGCCAAAAGTTGGAAGGTACCCAAGTATCCATCAGTGGATGAATGGATAAACAAAATATGGTATATACAAGTACTATTCACCATGAAAAAGGAAAGTGATTCTGACACATGCTATAACACATGAATGAACCTTGAAGACTTTATGCTAAGTGAAGTCAGTCAGACACAAAAGGACAAATAACTATATGACTGCACTTATATGGGGTATCTTGAATAGTCAAACTCATAATAACATAAAGTTGAATAGTGGCTGAGGGGAGGAGGAAATAGAGTTGTTATTTACCGGATATAGTTTCAGTTTTGCAAGATGAAAAAGTTCTATAATAGAAATCTGTTGCACAACAATGTGAATACACTTAACACTCCTTAATTGCACACTTAGGAATTTAAAACGGTAAATTTTGGCCAGGTGCGGTGGCTCACGTCTGTAATCCCAGCATTTTGGGAGGCCGAGGTGGTGGATCACAAGGTCACGAGACCAAGACCATCCTAACACGGTGAAACGTCGGGTGTGGTGGCACGCGTCTGTAGCCCCAGCTACTTGGGAGGCTGAGGCAGGAGAATCGCTTGAACCCAGGAGGTGGAGGTTGGAGTGAGCCAAGATCGCACCACTGCACTCCAGCCTGGGCAATGGCACATGGCTCCGTCTCAAAAAATAAAAAAAAGTTAAAATGGTAAATTTTATGTGTATTGAAAAATTAATTTTTTTAAAGAAAATCAAAGATTTTATACCTAGCCAAGCAATCTTTAATGTGTTCAGAATGAAAAAACAGTAAGTTTTTAATGTGCCCTTCCTGAGGACTTTATTAGAGGATGAGCTTTATCCAACCAAGACCTGACTGTGGAAAACTGGGCAAAAGGATTAATGGTGAATATTTCATATAATTTGTGAGATAGAGAAACTCTGGATGTGGGACCCAGGAATCAATATTTTTAAATTTCCCAGATGACTCCAGTGTACCCAAAGTTTAGAAACACTTGTACTTCCTTCTTCTACTCTCATTTATTGCAATTCTTATTCAATTTCATTCTCTTTGGCAGTGTAAACGTTTGTTTTTGTCTGTGTTCCCACTGCCCTACATTTTATAATAATAGGGATATCTTTATTCCAATAGTAACACAATCCTAAAAACAGAAAGATAATGATGGGGTAGAAAATACATGAGCGATAGGGACAGAAAGACCTAGGTTTGAATCTCTGACTCTGCCACTCACTGTATGGCTATGAGCAAGCCATTTACCTGAATCTCAATCATCTATGCAAGATGCAGGTGATATCATCTATTCAGTATGGTATGACTGTTTTATTAGGAATACGTGCCCACTAGCTGATTGCTACTATTGTTAACAAAAACAGTACAGGAAATGTTTACACTAACAAAGCACATGAAGTATGCTTGGAATATACCAAAAAATGTTATAAATTCGATGTAAAAGCATATGGAAGGCTACAAAACCCATACCTGCTCCCCTGGCTGTTGAGGACTAGCAGTTGTGGGCTGCTGAGGTTGTTGTGGTGTAAACTGGGAGAGCTGCTGTTGCTGCTGCTGCAGAGTGTTAAAAATAAGTGAACCACCTGGAAGCTATTAAGAATTTAAACAAAAATTAACCAATCTCATATGATTTTATATCAAATATTTAAATTTCTTTATTCTACAAATATTTTTGGATCATTTGCTATGTGTCACTCTTATAGTTGAGGAAACAGGTGAACAAAAAAAAAGTTGGCTGCCCTTAAAATAAAGACCTATTTAGATACAATTTTAAAATCCTATTACTTTGGGCTCTCAAGTATGTTAATACCCTTAAACATAAATTTTTCTGCTTCAAGCTAGTAGTTAGCTATCCTAATTCACATGCTATTTTTTATTTCACTCTTTTTATACATCAATACAAAAGAGCATTAAATACATTAGAAAGTACAAACAAACAGCTTATGAATCAGAAATGTATACTGTGAAAAGCCACCCCTCATAAATTGGTTCTAGTTTTGCCAAAAACACAAAAATACTATACAAGATCTTTTATATAACACAGTGAGGAATTTCAAAGTTGAAAAAAAAGTGCATTTAGTTGTCCATATTTATTTTGGAAACCACTACTTTCTCTTTCATTCAAATCTAATTCGAATTTAATTAATCCAAATATAAAAACAATTTTTAAAGAAGCACTCAGAAAACTCCAGGTTAAAAAGGAAAACAATGTTTGTCAAATGCACCAAAAAACAAATAGTTTTTCCATTTTAAGCTATAGGGGTTTATATATGGACCACTTTGAGGTCCTTAGGAGAATGTCCAAGAAAATACCAAATACAGAACTCTTAGGTTCTATATAGTCCAAAAAAAAAAAAAAATCCTTGGGTCAAAATATCTATCTATATCCATCACAGCTCATCATTAGGTAAACATGGATACAGCACAGATCAAATGTTCCTTCCTCAATCAGTGTATAGTAAATGTAGAAATATATAACAAACTAAAAGATTTCCGTTCCTGTTAACACTGAGACTGATCCCTAAGAAAACTTCAACAGCAATATACCAGAAGGCAGGCTAAATAAACAAATGCAATTTGTGGGCTTGTCCATACTATAAGTATATTGGTCTGCAATTAGTCTGCAAACATACTGCATCGTGTATAGGAAATAAGTTTTAAATTTTAGCTCTAATGAGAATTTCCCGATTTGTTAATCCTGAATACCAGGGTGGCTGATCTGTTATTGTTATTTCCCATCAATCCATAGCTCTACTACATTACATATCCAGATCTTTATATTCACGTCTATCCATTTTCCAAACTACTAGCTTAAAGCTTACTCCTTCTTTAAATTAGAGGACCTAGCATAACACCAGGAATGTTGTAAATTCACCCCCTCTTTTTTTTTCTTTTGAGACAGGATCTCACTCTGTTGCCTAGGCCGGAATGCAGTGGCGCAATGTCAGCTCACTGCAGCCTCGACTTCCTGGCCTTCAGTGATCCTCTGACCTCAGCCTCTCGAGTAGCGGGGATTACAGATGCATGCTACCATGCTTGGCTAATTTTTTGTAGTGATGGGCTTTTACCATACTGCCCAGGCTGGTCTCGAACTCCTGAGCTCAAGCAATCCTCCCACTTGGGTCTCCCAAAGTGGTGGGATTCTAGGTGTGAGCCACCGCGTACTGCACACATACCTATTTTTTAAATCTCCTTCAAGCACAAAAAACAGTATTACTTCTATGCATACAAAAAACATCTGTTGGGAAAGCAATTATTTTCTAAATAGGTCCACTATTATTATTGTAGCGAAGTATCCTCCTTGGTAGGTGCAAATTCTTCCCACTGGCACAGCTAGTTCTTAATTAGGCAGGGCTACTGGAGCCAAAGTGTGGTATATAGGGTACTGATTCTTCCTTTTTGTCCACTTGATCATACAAAGGTAGCAATAATAACCACACCCTTAGAAGAATCTAAACAGACCTCAGAATTTCAAGTGCTAATACATATAGATATACATTGTTTAGAAAAAAATTCAATGTACAAACAATTTAATCAAAAGCAGGATTTCAGGTTTACCTGGAGTAGATTTAAGGGCCTGAGACTTGAAGTATTTTTTAAACCAAATGGAACACCTGTTAAATAAAACTCATGGTTATAACAGAATTGGAAATTTATTACACATGAAAATAATTTATACTTTAGTATATATAAGTACAATAATTTTATGTACTCTCTGCATAGATGTGCGTATTTTCCATACTTCAGAAATATCAATACTGAGATTTTATTCAAAGTTGTGAAGCACCAGGTGTACATTATAGTCTATCTTTCAGAAACTAGGACTTCTTTTTCATTCTTCTGACTGTTGGCTGAACAAACAGTAATCAAGAATTATGTGAACACCATGAATATAACAAAACTATCACTGCTGTGCAAATACATTCCAGGTACTGGCATCTATTTACATTTCTCAGTGTTACATAGTATACTAAAATAATCATATCTTTAAGAACTGGTATGCTCTATGCTATTTTTTTTAACTACAAATGTTAATCAGAATGCTAAAGAATGTTGCAATTTGTGTATAAGATCAAAACTGAGAGTCAGGAAACAGTGCTCTGTTAATTCTAAACATAATCCTAAAAAATCTGTTACATAACACAGAGCATTATCTTAAAGTTGGGGGTGACAAACTTTTTCAGTAAAGGGCCATCATGTAGGCTTTGTGAGCACAAATGGCCTCTGCTGCATTTTCTTTTCACAATCCTTTAAAAATGTAGTAACCATTCCTAGCTTAGGCTGTGTGCTGTAGTGTGCTGATCCTGCTCTCACGATATGCAAATATTTTGCTAACAAAATACACCAATCTGAACACTATTTAAAAATGTATCTAGTTCTCTATCAGATCATATTTTTAAAAAAAGATTTAAGGCAAGAAATGCACATGTAATATTAGCAAAGCCTTGTATAAGAAACTGAAATTTGGCAAAAATATCCCTTTCTGGAAAAATTCTCATTTAAGAAAATGGCTTAACCCCCATTTAAAACTGGATGACATCTGTATAATGCCTTCTAGCTTACCAAAGTCACTTTCATACTTCATTTATTTCTCTTAAGTACCAACTGAAGATATTTTTATTCCCACTTTAGAGCGAACTGAACTGAGGCTAAGGGGGAAAAATTTAGTGACTTCTGTAAAGCCCTAGTTTAGCAAGTGAAGCCACATGTAACTGGTACAACTAGTAGTTACATGTAAATATCCTAAATTCAGGATGTGAAGTCCATTTCAGGACTTCTGGCACTAAAGCACACTTATGCTGATTAAAATAAGAACACTAGGCCGGGGGTGGTGGCTCACACCTGTAATCCCAGCACTTTGGGAGGCCGAGGCAGGCGGATCACGAGGTCAGGAGATCGAGACCATCCTGGCTAACATGGTGAAACCCCGTCTCTACTGAAAATACAAAAAAAATTAGCCAGGCGTGGTGGCGGGCGCCTGAGGTGGGAGAATGGCGTTAACCTGGGAGGCGGCGGAGCTTGCAGTGAGCGGAGATCGCGCCACTGCACTCCAGCCTGGGCGACAGAGCGAGACTCTGTCTCCAAAAACAAAACAAAACAAAAAAATAACACCACTAGCTAGAATTAGGAAATTACAGCAACATGTTAATATGTTTAATTATATTTTCTGGGTTCCCTTTCTCATAACTAAGAAAGTTTTTAATGAATTTTTCCACATTGTTTTTCCTATTAAATTTTTCCTCAAGTGAAACTGAATTGTTTCAAGATATTATAATACATTCTTTTAAAGAGCATCAAAAAAATAAGCACAAGTTATTATTATAACTGTTTTCCTGTACAGGTAATAACTACTCTTCGACAGAGCGAGACTCCGTCTCAAAAAATAAATAAATAAAATAAAAAAAAAAAGAATGCTTATTATGTCTCAGGCACAGTTTAAGCACATAATCTGTATTATATTTCATTTAATCCTCATGACTATAAGGTAAGTTATTATTGCTATTTCCATTTTATTTATGAGGAAAATTAGACACAAAGGTAACTTTCTCAATATTACACAAACGATAAGTTGTACAACTGGGATTCAAGCTGAGGTAGTTTGGCTCCAGAATCCAGGCTCTTAACTGCGATGCAGATGCCTCTTGTGCACAATGTGTATTTTCAAAATACATTAATATTCCCTGGAATATAACTACAATGACAATAAGGCTACCAAAATTAATTCTATTATTTGGAAAGCAAAAGAAACATTTGCACAGACTCACAGGCTTACCAAGTTTTCCAAAGTTGATTGCTAGATGGCTTTTAATTCAAATGCCAGAACTTTAAAGGCTTTTGAAATGAAACACATGTGATACTATACTTCATGAAATAATGACATTAAATGCCTTTAGCATCATTCTTAAAATTACATTTTTACTTTAGCATATACTTTAATTTTTTTTTTTTTTTAGAGGTTATTATTTCCAACATTCTGACCTGCTTGAGAAGCTGCCTGCATTGCACTGGGCAATGCATTTGGTAGCAGACCTCCTGAGGGTAGAAGGCCGCTCAGGTTTATTCCTGCAGGAGTTATGGCACCTGTGTTACAGCCCAGCATGGGGTTTGAACCACTCATCAAAGCCTGGGCCCCACTGCAGGAGAATAAGACAAAGCATTAAACTTCACTGTAAAAGGAAAAAAGTCAGCCACATAATTCCTCAGATTAAAAAACAAAACTACTAAGCAAACACAACTAGCTATTTATTGGTATTAAATATTACAGGCAATGCAGAAGATAAACAGGAAATTCTAAGCTGCTGTCAAGATGAAGTATCAAAAAACAAAAACAATAAGATGAGGTATCATCTTAGTGCAGTTAACAGATATATTATTTAAAATTAAAACACACATGGTCAGGCAACTTCTGTCCATATTTAAACTATTGCCTTTCAGTCTGAGTAATAGGCAGTTTGTTCTTCATTTCACAAATTAAGAATTTTAGATGGTGAAACTATCTTTAAAAAAAAAAAAAAAAAATCAGAACATCAATGCAAACTTACCAAACAGAGCCCACTACATTGATGAAGTTAAGTCCAGCAGAGTTTGCCATGACCTGGGTGGCCGTGGTTCCTGGAGTTATAGATGTTACCATGGTGGAAAGAGGAATGGTTGTTACAGGCATTGCCTGGCTCAGAGACCTTTGCTGCTGAGCAAACTGAGTTAACAAAGTGGGCTGAGGGGTGAAGCCTGAATCTTGGGGAGTAGGGGTAGCTGAAGGGGTACTAGGAGTTGAGCTCTGAGCATCAGGAGGGTGTGGGGTCGATGAAGGGGTTGGTGTAGGAGTAGATGGCTTAGGAGTTCCAGATCCTGCTCATTGAGAAAAATAAAAATTGCTAGTTTGTTATAAATGGCCAGTCCTTTTAAAATAAGGTTAATGGAATCTTACTTAGCACTGACAATTTGTTCTAGTTTTTTTTTTTTTAAAGCAGTTAACTGCAAGTGTTAATTTCTACACATGATACATGAGTGTTGCTACACTCAATTACAATTAAGGATGCAGTATATCACCTAAAAAAGCCCATTAAAGATGCTATTGCAGTAACAGTAAAAATATACAGTTATATTCTACCACAATACCCATTTAAAAGTTAGTTTCCTACATGCTGCCTTTGGCCTAAAAAGTTCAAAAGGAATTCAAATTAATTTATTATTTACGATTTACTAATTCATGACTTCATTTAAAAATATTGCTTATTTAGTGTAAAAGTCTGAGATAAACTGTGAACATATTTAATAAGTTACATATGGTTAACAATCATATTTGGCACCTAAATATACATGTTTAATTCCTAACACATCAAGTTTATCCTGACAAACAAATTTACAAAAAACAGTAATAAAGTAAATGTCTGATAGATAATACTGCATCTTTAACAGTAACTGTGTACTTCTGTTTAAATGTAGAATGTATAGAAAATCTGTTGTGAATGAAGTATGCACAGTTTATCAATTTTTTAAAAAACAAAAACAAAAAACAAAAACCAAAAAAGTAAAACCAAAAGCTCTTGAGGTGTTTTCTTTTTTAGCTTTCATGTCCTGCAGAAAGAAAGGAAAGAAATGTGAATGTCCAGAAGCTGTCACTCAACCCTTACTTAAAGTAACAACTGTGTGCAGTAGATTACCATAATCCATACCCACAACATAAGAAGTGTGAATAAGACTTTCAGAAAATTTATATATTTTTCTTTGTGCAAAACAAGAAGGCAGAAAAATTACACCTTTTGAGCTATCAAGATGAAGATGTTTATATCTAATGCGAAGACCACCCTATCACTGTGCAGTGTACTAAAACTTTCAGCATATATTAGCTATCTACAAAAAATCTAAAAAACTGGAATGACTTTTTCCCCCAAATTGGTACTTTCAGATATTTACTAATTTGAAGAAATTCTCCCAAACTAATGCTAGCATTCTTGTATAACTCTTCTTGATGTTAAAAAAAAAAGTATTCAGTAGTAAAAATTACATTTCAGTATCTTCAGAATAATGCTTTATGATCATCATCACATTTTAGTAACTGACAACAATTTATAAAAGAGTGTAGGAGTGTTTTTGAAATATTGTTTTTCAGTTTATTGTATCACCACCTTGGAACTAGTTGACTTCTTACATATACACAAAGATAGGACCTGCAGCAACAACTCTTATGACATTTTTTTCATATCAGCCACACAATTTACATAAATATGTAAAATGATCCTAGGGTACACTGGAATAAAAAATATTTTGAAATCTTATTGCCACATGTAACTACCAGGTTATTTTTTTAAGGAGATGTGTAGGTTGTAAGTCTATAAGAAAGGTATACGCAGAATGCATACATAGATACAGAAAAACAAGTACAATTACAGTAGAGACATAATACATACAATCAACAAGAGCTCTGCCTGAAGCTTCTAGCAACTTATACATTTTGGGTACACAGTACATTCAGATATCACTACTTCACAAGTTGAAAAAAGCTGTCTTAAGAAACACTAATGCAAAAGCTTATGAAGATTTAATGAAGAATTTAAGTTATGACTCACTTTGTGATGAGCTGGCAGGTGATAGGGCAGCTGGAGAAAGCATGCTAACTTGATTGAGATCCACAGATGATTTCCGAGGAATACTTGATGGCTTCGAAGAAGGAGGAGGAGTTGGAGATTTGAGAAAGCTGCTTGTCTGTTGTGGTGTAAAATAGTTACCTAGAAGAACATAAAAGTTATTTCCTAAATTTATAATTCAAAATTCTGTGAACTGTAGAAATCAAAATGGGGCAAAGTTTTAAAAAGAGATTAGGACTCTATAATGTTTGTTATTCTAGACTGCAAAAAACTAAGAAATGTAATACCTGAGGAACTATTTCCTGAGCTTGAGGGCAGTTTGATTGGTGGGGGTCGATGTTTTACGCCCTTCCCCAATACTGAAGACTGAACTGACACAGTTTCAGTTTGCTAAAAGACAGTGACATTAAGCATACTTGTTAAAATTAATCCTGCTATAAACCCCAGATGAAATGTATATTTAACTTCATAGTTTATTAAATAAAATTAGTACTGCTATAAATCCCAGATTTTTAACTCTGCAAAGTGCTCTCAGTGGTTACAGATTGAATACTGTATGTATTACAAAGAAAATTTCACATGAGACCCATGAAATATATATTACAGTACACATAAAGAATGAGGAAAAGATTTCTGAGTAATAGGGTGGGAAGTGAGAGTTTTAGGGAGAAAGGCAGAGGAGTAAGATGAAAGCAAAGCTTCCACCCTTCCATACCTATCTATTAAAGGAAAATAATAGCTGTTGAAGCCAAATGACTAGAACACAGGTGTTCATTATAATTTTCCTTTTATCTTTGTGTACATTTAAAAATTATGTCATAAAGAAATTTTAAAAAAAGGTAAAAGTAAAAACAAAACTAAATAATACTGCTGCTCCTCAAAAAATGATTCTTTTTTTTTTAGATGGATTCTCGCTCGATTGCCCAGACTGGAGTGCAGTGGTGCTATCTCGGCTCACTGTAACCTCCACCTCCAGGGTTCAAGAGATTCTCCTGTCTCAGCTTCCCGAATGGCTGGGATTACAGGTGTGCGCCACCATGCCCAGCTAATTTTTGTATTTTTAGTAGATACGGGGTTTCACCATATTGGTCAGGCTGGTCTCAAACTCCCGACCTCAGGTGATCCACCCACCTCAGCCTCCCAAAGTGTTGGGATTACAGGCATGAGCCACTGTGCCCAGCCTCAAAAAATGATTCTTAACATTTCTCAGATTACTTGTGAAACAACTGGGCACAAAGAAGTAACATTAATGAAACACACTTCTGTTTCTTTCCCTGGAGAAACCTGACTCAGACTGGCTGAGCCACTGGAGCTGTGTGACATCTTGACCGGACATTTGGCTTCATTCTGGACTAATTCTTGGTACTGATTGACTACCCTAAAATATCAGGAGAAAACAGGTAAAGATTAGATAACCTGTTTTAAACACGAATTTATTTTATAGGAAATAATGACTATTAATGGTAAAAAGAAAGTTCTATCAATATAAAAATTAAAATTAGGTGATTTATCTTTGTGTTAAAAGTACATATTTTTAAACTGTTCAATGACAAATTGTCCAAAACATTTTGCTAAATAACAATCTAAAGATATACTTTCAATATCTTATTTCTAATACAGAAATTGCAGGGATTACTTAAGTAATAAGCAGCCAAAGAAAATACTCAATTCCTTTCTTAGATTCTGATTAAAGTACTATCTAGAAATCATCTTCCTTAGCTACACTAGATATGTCTAAGTTTTCTTATTTAAAACAAAACTGTATTTTAAACATTTTTTTTTGTTTTCTTAATTCTATGAAAAAAAATCCTAGGTATTATAAACGTTGGAAAAATGCATTTAAGTTCCCCCAAAATCTCATCCCATGAAAAGAACCATTCTTAATAGTTTGGCGTATCACAAGCTTTCATTTTTCTAGAATCAATAAGATTTTAAAGTTGGAAAAGACCTGAGAGGTTTTACTGTCCAATGCCCTAATTTTACAACAGAGGCCCATAAATATTAAACAGTGTAAATATGGTTAATAGCATAACCAAAATCAATGTTTTTAACTCCTAGTAAAGTACTCTCTATCCTATAAGGATGAAAAATTTTTCATATCCATCCTGACCAAAATAGAGATGCAAATATTTTCACCTCTCGGCATCGGTCTTTGATCCAATAACGAACCTAAAATGTTTAAGGAAAAAAAAGGAGAGAAAAGTATTAGCTAAGAGTTGTCTTAAGCAGCCTTGGGATTACTTTTGAAATCTTCCATGTTTTAGTCACAATAATATAAACTGGTATTAAATCTACCAAGATATGGAAACAAAATTTTTTAATGCATTTACACATACGAAACAATGACGAAGTTTTGCATGCATTATGAAACAATGTGAATAATTTGGTTGATTTAATTAAGGGATATTTCTTTTGGCACAAAATTTATTTATTAAAACATAATCTGGGCTGAAAGTTACCAAGTGCTATATACCCTTACAACTATTGACCCTAAAGCAAAATCACTGAACTATCATGTGGAAAGGTCTTTGGCCTTCATCTCACTTTAACCTGTGATTTTAGAATTAAATGTCTACATAACAGATCCTTAGAATATATTTCAAACAAGGTATACATATTTATCACCGATTCAAATAAAATATCTTTAGCAAGTCTTTTTAAAGAGTTTGATATTTACGTAATTTCTTAACAGATTAAAATAGTTTATTTTTTAATTACCAATTTGAATGATCATCTGTGGAGGAGCTGAAATATAAAATGTAAAAAAAAGCTTAGTTAATGCAGCTCAAACTTTAACTCCATAGTTTATTCAATAAAATATTTATGAGTACGGAAGAATGACTGGAAAATAATAAATCATGCAGCTACTCTGACGCAAAGGTAAAAAATTCAATTCTCTTCCTGTCAAACAAATTAGTCATTTGGCTCTATAGACCAATTTTTTTACAAAAGAACATGTATCACCCTTGTGTTCTACAAAAATAAGTTAATAAATTAAAAATGGCCAATATATGTTGCCTTTAAGTTGAAGACTTTTTTAAATATAAGTAATCAATATTGGGTACTATATTCACTACCTGGGTGATGGGATAAGTAGACACCCACACCTTAGCATCATACAATATACCTCTGTAACAAACCTGCACACATAACCCCTATAGCTAAAATAAAAATAAAGAAAAAAAAATGGCTTCCTCAGAAATGCATGCTGAGGATTCAGAAATAAACTGTTATGATGTCTATAACTTTAAAAAAAAGAAGAAAATGCATGTAATCAAAACATCTGATCCTTTTACAACAATAAAAACTGGTCATGTGAAAAAAGAAGCTGAGGATTCCCTGTTATTTCCTTTCATTGACTTTTACCTAAATATTGGTGGGGTTGCTCTTTAAAATACACCTTTCTACTGCAGATTCAATTAGTATTTTGTATAAGTAAAGGCTTTACAATTAACATAGACCTGGCCCCGTCCTTTTCTGCTGAGCTTTTTTCTTTTTTTCAAAACAGTATCAATTTGATTTAAAAAACCAAACATAGTAAAACAAAGTAAAACTAAATACTGACAGTACCAAATATATGTAGTTCACACATTTTGGAAGATCATCTGTATTTTTATGTATTAATATGTAGGGTCAATAACTACAATAAGCACTGAGTCTGTGTCCTTACATGCAGTGCCAAATACCAAGCATCTTTTTACATTTATGGTAAACTTGCTTCCTATTTAAACACACTATTGCCCAAACACTTCATGTTCACAGGTTAAAGTCCTAAGTGCCATAAATATATAAAGAAAGATATCACAGGAATAGCCTTCAAAACAAGCATAAAAATAATTATACCATAGGTTTTTTTGCTATTTAATAACTCTTGAGCAACACAGTAACTATGACTTAAGTTTACTTAGGTCTACTAATAAGTTATTAGGTCTACTAATAAGTTTACTTAGGTCTAACTAATAAATGAGTTCCAAAGAGAAATTTTTATTCATTAATGGTTCATCAGTAGTTACTAGATAAATTCTTGGTGCCTTATTTTTTTTTTTCAGTTACTTGTATTTAACAGAACTCACTGTGATGGAGACATCTGGCTGTCACTTTCTTCATCTGCTTTACATGGCTGTATTTTACCATAGTAAAGTGGATCTCCAAGCGACTGCAAGATGGTCAGCTTTGTTTTCTGATACTGAGTACCAGTTTCACATTCAAATACATAATCATCTTTTACGTCCTGAAAAACACATAGCACCTCAAATAAACATCTTCACAAGTAGGCAGGCATTAAGAATTAGTAAAAATTAGGAATAAATGATACAGTAACATGTATCTGACGATAGGAAGACACATGGTACTTAGGCTAAAAGATGTTTAAGTCTGCCTACCAGAATAAAGCACAGCATGGCTCTTTTCCTAAAAACTGTATGGGCACTCAGCATGCATTTAATAAAGCATTAACATACACTACGAAATATGAACTTATATGTAACAATATTAATACATCATTAAACACATTATTAGACATATTAATATACATACTGGAAATAATAACAATGAACATTAAACACTGTTCTCAGCACTCTACAGGGACTGCCTCAAGTAAGCTTCATCATATTTTTATGGTTGGCACTGTTATTATCTCCATATTAGAAGTCAGGGAATTAAGCAGAGAGGTTAAATGAATTGCCTAGGGTCACACAGGGAGTTAGCAGTCTGTCCCTAAGCTAGCACCCCTGATCCTCATGCTGCCGTGCCTGTTTATGCTCAGGAGGGCAGTACAGGATTATTTTTTACATGGTACTCTCGGAAGGAGAATTCTGATGGCATGTTTAATCAAGCTTAATATGGCAGAATTTCAGACTAGACATATGAATTGCAAATATTAAATAATATTAAAAGGATAGAACTTTCAAAAGCAGATCTGTTTCTATTTACCATTTGTCTGCTTTTGCTATCACACACACAAAACATCTCTCGTCATTTCACTCCTAGGGTTCACCTAATTTAAATATTATACCTATTTCTGTCTTTTTAAGATGTTATTATTCCAATTAGGAAACTTACAAAAACGTATCCTTAGAAGAATTAATTTGAAACAAAACAAAACAGAACTACCAATATGCAAACCAAAAGTAAAAAAGAAGTTCTTCATTAAAATTGCTCTTTAAGGCCAGGCGCAGTGGCTCATGCCTGTAATACCAGCACTTTGGGAGGCCAAGGTGGGCGGATCACGTGAGATCGGGGGTTCGAGACCAGCCTGGCTAACATGGTGAAACCCCATCTCTACTAAAAATACAAAAATTAGCCAGGTATGGTGGCGGGTGCCTGTAATCCCAGCAACTCAGGAGGCTGAGGCAGGAGAATTGCGTGAACCTGGAAAGTGGAGGAGGTTGCAGTGAGCCACGATCACACCATTGCACTCCAGTCTGGGCGATAAGTGCCAAACTCCATCTCAAAAAAATAAAATAAAATAAATAAAAATAAAAAAAATTTAAAAATAAAAAATTGCTGTTTAAAATGCAAAGCATACTTTGATGAACAAAATAGTTGTTTCTTCATGTAATAAACTGAACTTCCAGAAAGGAATTTATAAAAGAAAAAAGGTCCCAAACTAATGGCAACTGCACTTTATGTTTAATAAATTCAGAGGCCAGATTAGAAATGGCATAATTAGAAACAGAGACAGGCAATGATTACTTACATGGGCTGGCCAGACTGTTGGCTGTGAGTCATCAGATTTGATAGACTTTTCCACTTTAGCATATTTCTCCACCTAAACAATCAAATCAAGAAATATCACATAAAATAGAATCCATATCAGATAAAATGGAATCAGTACTCTGATAAAAGAGAAGAAACTAAGTAACTCGACAATACAATATACTTGTTAGCGCAAGAATTCTTTAACCAGTACCAACTACTTACGCTTAAGTAGTTTAAAAGTCTTCTGATGTGTAAAAAACAACTTTAATAAAACCAAACTAATTAAATGTTAATAAACATAGCTGCTTTTCTAGACAGTGCCTCTTCATTTTTTTGTCCATAAGCTGGTATGTTTTTTCCTTTAGAGCTTTTCCTTCAGGAAAGCTGGAATGTCAGAGAGATCAGGATCAGGAGCTTTTCCTTTTGGCAGGGCTTTTCTTGAAATAAGAGCTGTCATGTAACAGTGGCAACAAAACTAAGGGAGACTATGGAAGGTAAAATGTTAAAGCTGATCAAATTTTTTCAACCTTTTCCACTTTCTAGTCAGACTTGACCATATATTCTGTACATGTCCTAGGTATCTGTGTGAGTCAAATGTTATTATCTTACGGGCAACTATGATCTTAAGAGTCATTTAGACTTATCTGGGGCACTTAATAAAAATACAGATTTACATGTCTGTCCTTAGAAATCCTAAGTACGTAGATCTTGAGTAGGGCTTGAAATCTCCTATGTTTAACTGATATTCTGATTGAGCTAGACTGAGAAGCTTTGAGGGCAACTGCTACTCAATGTGTGGTCCCTGGACCTCAGCATCACATAACCTAGGAGCTTGTGAGAACTGCATCTTATGCCTCAGACCAGACTTGCTGAGTAGCAATCTACAATTTAACAAGCTCTCCAGGTGATTCCTAAGGACATTAAAGTATGGGAAGTACTCCAGCCTGTCCTCCAAAGCTAAACTCCACCCTTTAGTATTTATACTGAAATTCTATCCTCAGGCCATGCTCCTTGAAGAACTGCGCATAAGCTACCAACAGATAATATGGCTTACTGCCTTGAGTTGTATATACAGTCTACTGCTGTTTCTGGCTCTGTGCTTAGAATAATTTCTTTTTATAAAATCAGAAATAGTAAGAATAATGCATGTGCTAGCATGGAAAGGGTGCAACAGAAGAACAAATCTGAAAATAAAGAGTGAATATAAAAAAGAACAGAGGAGAAAGAAAAATAAAGGATCACTCATCAAAATATCCCTTTTCTGTCTTCAAGCATTCATATTTATGTATATTATGGATCAATAAAGAATACAACCCAACGTTCCTAATCTTGGTTACTTCTCTAGTATTATTAATCTTTATTTTTTTAAATAGTATTATTAATCTTCAAATTTAACCACTTCGAGGAAAAAAGCACTATTAGGAAATTTTGATGAAATATTATGAAAACAAGAGAGATTTCACGTGATTATGTAATATACACTATATTTTTCCACATTTTAAAATTGTTTTGTTTACTATTCCTGCTCCAAACACAACTATATTAAGGGGTTATGCTTTTTCAACTTAATGTGAAAAAAGAACAATACACAGCTTCTAAAAATCATTTTTCAATGTTTTTTGAAACAAATCATATTGTTTTTAAAAAAAAGACTATGATCGCCCCTTTCTCCTTCCGGTTCTAGGCGCTTCGGGAGCCACGGCTTAAGGTGCAGACATGGCAAGTCCAAGAATCACACCACACACAACCAGTCCCGAAAATGGCACAGCAATGATATCAAGAAACCCCGATCACAAAGATACGAATCTCTTAAGGGGGTGGACCCCAAGTTCCTGAGGAACATGCGCTTTGCTAAGAGGCACAACAACAAGGGCCTAAAGAAGATGCAGGCCAACAGTGTCAAGGCCATAAGTGCACGTGCCAAGACTATCAAGGCCCTTGTAAAGCCCAAGGAGGTTAAGCCCAAGCTCCCAAAGGGTGTCAGCCGCAAGCTCGGTTGAGTTGCCTACATTGCCCACCCCAAGCTTGGGAAGCATGCTCATGCTCGCATTGCCAAGGGGCTCCGGCTCTGCCCACCAAAGGCCAAGACCAATAATCAAACCAAGGTCCAGGCTGCAGCTCCAGCTTCAATTCCAGCTCAGGCTCCCAAAGGTGCCCAGACCCCTACAAAGGCTACAGAGTAGATATCTCTGTCTGCCAACGTGAGGACAGAAGGACTGGTGCGACCCCCCACCCCCCGCCTCCGGGCTGCCATCTGCATGGGACTGGGGTCTTCCTGTGCTATTTGTACAAATAAACCTGAGGCAGGAAAAAAAAAAAAAGAGTATGATCTAAATCACTTTGTTTTTAAAAGAAGTTTTTTGTTGTTGTTTTCTCAAGGTATAAGCAAACGAATGGTAAAACTTAGAAACTATATGGAAAAAAAAATTCATGAACCGACTTACATCTACTTCAGAAGGTATGGCCAAATTACAGGGACTCCGTTTCCACATATCTACACACTGAAAAATTAAAAACAATATAAATATACAGAAAAAATGCTAAATAAGACAGGTTTTTGGGCATAATAAGCTTCATTTAAAAAACATATACTTACATTTCCTGCTTTAGAAATTTTGAGGTCATAATGCTGACCTGCTTTTCTTTCCTTTCTTTTTTGTAAGAAATCAAGTAACCTCAGCTGAGGAGGAGGTGGACAATGAGACAGATCTTGCTGCCGATTCAGAGAGGATCTGGAATACCTCTTGAAACACCTGAAATGTTAAGAAATTTGAACTAAAACAGCACTAATAAAAGCAGCTCGTAATATATGTGAGTTGAAACTAGTCACTGCTAAGTATGTACAAATCATGTTTATAGAACACTGCCACATGCCAAGCACAGTCCTAGGAACTAGGACTAGGTGAAATAAAAATGAGTAAGAAACAAAATTCCCATCACCACAGGCTATCAAGTCCAGAGGGGGAGGAGACATTCACAAGTAAACAGATAAAATAATTTCAGATTTCAGATACCAAGAAGCAGTAAGATAAAAAACAGAGTACCGTGGAGAATACAGGATAAGGAGGGCAACACTAGGGCAGGGAAGTGGGAGAGGGAGGGGAGGAAAAGAGCCTGAAAAAATGACATGTGAGCTGAGACAGGAATGATGAGAAGGAACTAGCTATGGAAAGATGAAGGTGAAGGGGATAATTTCCAGTTTCGGGTACAGGCATGTAAGACTCTGGAAGTTCCCACCTCATTCTAACAAGTAAAAAGCTGAATAAACATAAAAATTAACGATTCTTCTTAGATCCATCAAAGAGATGAGGTCACAAGAAAAACCACTGCCCCAAACTTGGAGAAACCAATAACGCAGACCATCATGGCTTGCTGAAGCAGAAACCCACTAGCACAAACCTCTTCAGGAACCAGTGCCAGGGTAGGGAACCTCAAGTATAACTGATGAACTGCTGGAGGCCTAGTGTGGACGTGTCTGAGAGATTCAAAACTCCAGGGGGATCTAGTCACTGGGAGCCCCCACACTTTTGGGGGTTTTATCTCCAGGAGCTCAAAGAGGTTCTCACAGTGACTACTGGGGAAAAATTCCCTCATGTTTCCCATGGAGGGTGGGGAAAAGAAAATATTCTGAAAGATCAAGGAATGAGTATTTGAAGAGACATTTTTAAAAGATGCCAAGGGAGGAATAAGCTTGGTTTGTTTCAAAAACACAAGGTAGGTGTGCCTAGATTCAGTTTATAACTAACTGACTTCTTCTATGATCATATTTTCTCAAATCTTGAAATTACAAAATCTTTCCTTAAAAGTAGGATTAACAACAATTAAATCAGTCATTCGTTATTAGGAAAATAATGAAAAAATTATTATTTCTGTTCATATTTGATCTCAGCCTCTTTACCTTTTTGGAAAACAGACTATAAACTTAGAAAAAGTTTATTCTTTAAAAGACTGCAGAAAATGCATCAGTTCAATCTGAAGCATAGAGCATTAAAAAATAATAATGCTATACAAAAAAAAATAAAATAAGACCATTAAAAATCCTATTTTCAAAAAAAAAAAAATAATCAGAGGCTGGTGTAGTTGGTCATGCTTATAATCCCAGCTATTTGGGAAGCCAAAGTGGGAGGATCACTTGAAGCCAAGAGTTCAAGACTAGCCTGGGCAACAAAGAGAGACCCCCATCTCTACCCTTCTCCACCAAAATCAGAGCAACCATACCCTGGAGGGAAAAGATACTATAAATAGCAAAATTTACAGCTACTTGTGTCTTTTGGTTCACCCTTCCACAAAGGCAATTACCGTTTCATTGGGCGAGTGTTCATCTTTTGCTTGTTATAGAGCAGTCTGTTTGCAGTGCAGGTGACTGCTATAGAAGGATCAAGACAGAGTGGTTCAGCTGTAGCTAGGATGAGCTGGCTCTCAAGCAGAAGTTTGTCTTCCTGAAATGTGTAAGAGCATATGTCAATACCAGATTTAAGATTTGCAAATATGTAATCATACATAGCTTAATCTAGAAATATTCCCTGGAATTCTGCTAAGAACTACAGTAAAACACGGTATTTCAGGTGCCAATGTTAGTGTGCATGCAAACGTTTAGAAACTAGACAGCATAAAGAAACTTCTAATGGAAATTCAATGCAGGTATATCTCGTTTTATTGTGGTTCACAAATATTGCACTTTTTACATATTGAAGATCTGTGGCAATTTTGCACTGAACAAGACTATCAGCACCATTTTCCCAACAGCACACTTATTTTGTGTCTGTGTCACATTTTGGTAATTCTTTCTGTATCTCAAACTTTTTCATTATTATTAAATATATTATGGTGATCTGTGATATTCAATGTGTACTTAATCAAGAAATGATGCATGTTCTCTGACAGCTTCACCAATCCACCACTCCCCAGTGTGGGATCTCCCCTGTCTTTCTCCTTCTCAGGACTCCTTACCCCTAGAAACATTATAATATTTAAATTAGGCAAAAAATGGCCTCTTAGTGTTCAAGTGAAAGGAAGAGTCACACATCTCTCATTTTAAATCCAAAGCTAGAAATAATTAAGCTTAGTGAGAAAGGCCTATAAACAGCTACAACAGTGAAAGCTAGGCCTCTTGTACCAGTTAGCCAAGTTGTGAATGTAAAGGAAAAGTTCATAAACAAAATTAAAAGCACTACTCCAGTGAACATCCATAACAGATAGAAAAGCAAAACAGCCTTATTGCTGATACAGAGAAAGTTTAAATGATCTGGATAGAAGATCAAACTAGTTGCAACATTTCCTTAAACCAAAGCCTAATCCAGAGCAAATCCCAATTCTCTTCAATTCTATGATGTGAGAGAGGTGAGGAAGCTGCAGAAGAAAAGTTTGAAGCAGAAAACTAGTTCATGAGGTTTAAGAGTAGAAGCTGTCTCCATAACACAAAAGTGGAAGGTGATGCGGCAAGTGCTGATATACAAACTGCAACAAGTTATGCAGAAGATCTAAGATACCTGATGAAGGTGGTTCAACAACAGGTTTTCAAATTAAATAAGACAGCCTGATACTAGAAGAATATGCCATCCAGAACTTTCATAGCTAGAGAGAAGTCAATGTCTGGCTTCAAAGCTTCAAAGAACAGGCTGACTCCCTTGTTGGGGGTTAATGCAGCTGGTGACTTGAAGCTGAAGCCAATGCTTATTTGGCCATTCTGAAAATCCTAGAATCCTTAAGAATTACTACTCTATTGGTGCTCTATAAATGGAACAACAAAGCCTGGATGACAGCACATCTGTTTACCACATAGTTTACTGAATATTTTAAGGCCGCTACAGAGACCCACTGTTCAGAAAAAAAAAGATTCTTTCGAAAATACTACTGCTCATTAACAATGGCCTTGTCACCCAGGAGCTCTGATGAAGACACACAAGGGGATTAATGTTTTCATAGCTGCCAACACCATATCCACTCTGCAGCCCATGGATCAAGGAGTAACTTTGACTTTTAAGTCTTAATATTTAAAAAATACATTTTGTAAGGCTTTACCTGCCATAGATAGTGATTCCTCTGATGGATCTGGGCAAAGTAAATTAAAAACTTTCTGGAAAGGATTTGGCATTGTAGATGTCACGAAGAACATGCATGATTCATGGGAGGAGGTCAAAATAGAAACATTAATATGAGTTTGGGAGAAGTTTATTCCAATCTTCATGGATGACTCTGAGGGGTTCAAGACTTCAGGACAAGAAGTCACTGCAGTTGTGGTGATATCAAGAGAAATACAATTAGAAGTAGAGAGCCTGAAGATGTGACTGAATTGCTACAATCTCATGATCAAACTTGAATGGATGAGTTGCTTCTTATGGGTGACCATAGAAAGAGTTTTTTTTTTTTTTTTTTTTTGAGTCAGAGTCTCCCTCTGTCACCCAGCCTAGAGTGTAACGGCGCAGTTCACTGCAACCTCCGCCTCCTGGGTTCAAGCAATTCTCCTGCCAGGTACCACCACCATGCCCGGCTAATTTTTGAATTTTTACCAGAGACAGAGTTTCACCATATTGGCCAGGCTGGTCTCGAACTCCTGACCTTGTGATCTGCCTGCTTTGGCCTCCCAAAGTGCTGGGATTATAGGCATGAGTCACTGCACCCCGCAAAAGTGGTTTCTTGAGATAGAATCTATTCCTGGCTGTGAACATTGTTGAAATGACAACATGATATTTAGACTATTACATAAACTTAGGTGATAACACAGCAGTGGCAGGGTTTTAGAGGACTGACTTCAATTCTGAAAGATGTTCTACTGTAGGGTAAAACTGCATCACATGCTATAAAGAACTCTTTCATGAAAGAAATAATCGATGGGGCAAACTTCACTGTTGTCTTTTAAAAAACTGCCACTGCCATCCCAATCTGTCAGATCCTGATCTGTCAGCAGTCATTAATATCTAGGCAATACCTTCCACAAGCAAAAAGGTTATGACTCCCTGAAGGTTCAGAAGATCATTGGCATTTTTTAGCAATAAAGTATTTTTAAATTAATGTATATAAGTTGTTTTTTTAAACATAATGCTATGGCACCCTTAATAGTCTACAGTAGACTCCTGAACAACATGGATTTGAACTATGCAGGTCCATTTACACAGGAGTTTTTTTCTTTTCTTTTTTTTGAGACAGAGTCTTGTTCTGGAGTGCAGTGGTGTGATCTCAGCTCACCGCAACCTCTGCCTCCTAGGTTTACGTGATTCTCCTGCCTCAGCCTCCTGAGTAGCTGGGACTACAAGCACACAACACCATGTCTGGCTAATTTTTGTATTTTTAGAGACGAGGTTTCACCGTGTTGGCCGGGATGGTCTCGATCTCTGGAAGTTGCCAAGAGAACTGGCAAGATGAACTTTTCTTCTTCCTCCTCCTCCGCCTACTCAATGTGAAGATGATGAGGATGAAGACCTTTAATATGATATACTTATTGAATAGTAAACAAATTTTCTCTTCTTATGATTTTCTTAATGTTTTCTTTTCTCTAACAATTAACTGTAAAAATACAGAGCACAATACATGTAACATACAAAATACATGTTAATCACCAGGCATGGTTGCTCACATCTGTAATCCCAGTACTTTGGGAGTCCCAGGCGGGCAGATCGCTTGAACTCAGGAGTTCGAGATCAGCCTGGGCAACATGGTGAAATCCTGTCTCTACCAAAAATAAAAATAATTAGCTGGGCATGGTGGCATGCACCTATAGTCCCAGCTACTCAGGAGGCTGAGGTAGGAGGATCACTTGAGCCTGAGAGGCAGAGGTTGCAGTGAGCTGAGACTGTGCGAATGCACTGCAACCTGAGTTACAACCTGACTCCATCTCAAAAACAAAACAAAACAAAACAAAAAAACAAAATCCAGTAAGGCTTTCCAGTCAACAGTAAGCTATTAGTAAAGTATTAGAAGAGGAGTCAGAAGTTATATATGGGTTTTTGACCGCACAAAGGCCACTGCCCCTAACCTCTGTGTTGTTCAAGGTCAACTATATAGTGTAAATGTAATCTTTTTATACACTAGGAAACCAAAAAGTTCATGTGACTTGCTTTATCGCAGTATTTGCTTTACTGCAGTGCTCTGGAATCGAACCCACAATAACTCCGAGGTATGCCTATAATTTGTAGAGTATGGAATGGTCAGATTGTAAGAGTGGCTACTCATTAATTCAAGAAAGTATTTGAGCACCTATGATGTGTTAGGCACCTTTACAGGAGTTGGGGATAAAGTAGTGAGCAAAACAAAATATTCTGCTCTCACAAAACCTATAGGGTCGTAAAGGGTTATGGCATTTTTTAGTAACCGTGAATAGTCCCATCCTATACTCAACTATATTACAAGAATAAAAATGACTCTGCTAATATTGAGTGAACTCTATATACCCAATTCCAAAGTACATACAGGCTCTTTACTGTTATCACATAATGTACTTTACTGAATCCTATTACTTTGCTTAACCTCTGAAATATCTTGATAGCTAAGGCTATTTTTTTAAGTGAATCAATTAATAATATTGTTAAATAATAATTTGTTAGAATTAACCAATTGTTTTCTCATGTCCATTAACTAGATCTGGCTGGTTTCTTCCTCGTTGTGTTACTTAAGAATTTATTTTATTCACTGAATTCCTATAAACTGCTAGTTACAACTAGTGGCTTGATTTAATATGGGCTCCTTTTTTTTTTTTTTTTTGGACAAGAGTTCTTTATTGGTGCTATTACTACTGTTGTATGTCTCTTGCATCAAACCGGGAGGTACACAATAATTAACTGTTCCATCTTCAATCAGTAGGTTTAATCAGATTGCTACATTACAAAATTTCCCATTAACCTATCATCTAATAGTTTTCACATCTAAGAATTACTGTTGTCTAGATAAATTACTTCATTAACACTTTCAAACTTTTATTTTTCAAAAGTCTATCATTTCTTTTACACCTATTAGCATCCTCTGATGGTAACCAATGAGTTTTTCTGTTGTCTAATATTCTTTTGATAGCTTTTAATCTTTTTTCAGATGATAACATTACAGCCCAAACCAAAACACAATACTCGGTAGTTACTGATGAATTGAAGCTTATTTTATAATCACATGTCACAGAAAGGATAACTACCATTACTGATATTTTCTTTTGACTTAGTAATTATTCCTCACTATAGTCACAGAAAACTGAACACTTTTTTGAGTAGGCATCTCACATACAAGGGGTCTTTAAAAGTTTATGAAAAATGAGTATTAAGAAAAAACTATACATAGGTTTCAAACCTTTTTGCACCAAAATAAATATGCACTAAGCTGTTAAAACATGTCTGAACAGAACCTAGTTTGAAACACAAAGAAAGATAAGACATCAGTTTGAAAACAGCCTCTACCAGAGCAACATGAATTCTGCTAAAACTGAAGCAACAACAAACATCAAATTGATGGTGAAGCCTAAATGGAAGAACTGTGAAATCATTGACGCTTTTTGAAAAGTTTATGGGAAGCATGCCTCAAAGAAAGCAGCCGTTTACAAATGGGTAACTTGTTTTAAGAAGGGACAAGACTATGTTGAAGATGAAGCCTGCAGCAGCAGATCATCCACATCAATTTACGAGGAAAAAAATTCATTTCGTTTGTAACCTAATTGAAGAGGACCAATGATTAACAGCAGAAACAAAAGCCAACACTATAGGCATCTCAACTGGTTCAGCTTGAATAATTTTGACAGAAAAATTAAAGTTGAGTAAACTTTCCACTCGATGGGTGCCAAAACCACTGCATCCAGATCAGCTGAAAAAGCAGAGCTTTCCATGGAAATTTTCAACAAGTAGGACCAAGATACTAAAGCATTCTTTCCAGTATAATACTGAAGATAATAAAGCACAATTAAGGCAATGGCTACCAAGAGGCAGAAGTGGTTCAGTCAAAGCAAAAGCAGACAGGTGAAGAGCAAAGATCATGGAAACAGTTTTCTGGGATGCTCAAGACATTTTGCTTGTTGACTTTCTGCAGGAGCAAAGAATGTAATGTGCTTATTATGAGTGTTTTGAGAAAGTTAGCCAAAGCTTCAGCAGAAAAATGCCTGGGAAAGCTTCACCAGAGTCGTTCTGCACCACAATGCCTCTGCTCATTCCTCTCATCAAAAAAGAGAAATTTTGTAAGAGTTTTGATGGGAAACCATTAGGTATCCACCTTACAGTCCAGATTTGGCTCTTTCCGACTTCTTGTTTCCTAATCTTAAAAAAAAAAAAAAGTTTAAAAAGTATCCATTTTTTCTTCAGTTAATAATGTAAAACTGATTGCATTGATATGGTTCAGTTCCCAGGACCCTCAGTTCTTTAGGGGTGGACTAAATAAATGGTATCATTTACAAGCGTCTTGAACTTAATGGAGCTTATACTGAGAAGAAAAGTTTATATTTTTTATCTTTTAATTCCAGTTTTCCACAAACTTTCTGAAGTCCCCTCATATATCACTGAGCCAGAACTGGAGGGTTAACTGGTTATTCTCAGGGGTAAGAGAGTTCCTCTCATTTCAAGGCAACCAGTATAAATGGCAAAGAAAGCTAGGCTAGGCTGGGTTAGAAACTTGAATTATTTAAAAAAAAAACCAGTATCTATTTGTAGTCAAGGTAAAAACATTTTTCTTCTATTTGAGAGGAGATAAAGACTAAGTTTTATCTCATTGAGCATATTAGGCCAGCTTCACCCTAAAATGATCTTAGGCAACTTGAGGGATTACTACATGTATAAAGAGACCCTTAACTTCCAGATCTCATAAAGGAATACCAGGTTTTCACATAAAGCATCAAACTTAATTATTGAATAAAAATAAGCAGAAAATCACTTTTGCTTAATGATAAGTTTTTTTCATCCTATATTTTGCCTGTCTGAGATTAAAAAACAAAACAACTAACCTGGGTCCATTTATGGTTATCACTTGTTATTGAATGTACATCACAAATTAAAGTCTAGAAGAAATAAACATTTACAAAACTCATTAATCTATGCACAAACATATGAAGACATTTGATAAATGAAACTTCCAACTAAAATCTAAAATAGTATATCTTAAACATCCTTACCTGCATTGTTGGACGTAAGAGAATGTGCCGACTTTGGTAACCAGGAGATTTCATGTTACTGGACTGCCTGTAGTCACGTATTTCTGCTATGACACATCCGCAATGAAAAATATTAACCTGTTTGGGTAAAAATATCTAAATGTCATTTTTTTTCCAAAAGTCTAAATAAGTAGTTTATATCAAACATTTCACATCCTTTACATTCATGCAACATTTCTGGCCACTCATGTATGCACTCTTTAGTAGATTTCCTTGGTAGATTTAACACTGTGTAAACCTTTTCAGAGGAAGTATTTTATGTTCATCACCATGACACAAGAAGCAATTTAAAACTATCTAACAGTTTCTAATTATAGATTGACTTTGGCATCTACCAAGTCAATTGACTTTTGGCATTTACATACTATTACGTTACAGATCCTTGGAACTGTTCTTGATCCTTGGAACAGTGAGCTGTTCTTCTGCAGCTCACTGGCTTACTGTTACATTTTGCTAACTTTGCCATTACTATAAAGTTTATCATTGTTATAAATTGCCAATCAACCTTGCCAGTGTTTCAGCTTCTAGATATAACTTCTATATTTGCTCTGCTAAAATTTTCAGAAATAAAATCTTTGCCCTTAGCCTTTATTAATAGGAGGGAAGCTAAACATAAAATTCAAATGAAAAATAGTTCTTCAGGCTGTACCTATCCAGGTACAGCTTTACAGATACAGTAGTCAGACAACATTTGCACTCAGCTGTGGGAAGACAGGCAATAAACATGTAAACAGAACAAAATAATTTTAGATAGTGATGAATTCTATAAAGGAAATCAAATAGGGAAGGGTCAATCTGGATTGTATGTGCAGATAAAAACCTTAGGTTTTACCTAAGATCTGAATCACAAGAAAGGGCCGGATACATTACGGACAGATCATTCCAGACAGAGGGAATAACAAATGAGAAGTTCTTACTGTAGGAACAAGCTTGGAGTGTTTTATTGTGGAAATGAAACAAGGATGGATGGAATGTAGTGAGTGAGGATGACATTTAGAAGATGAAGACAGGCCAGGCATGGTGGCTCAAGCCTGTAATCCCAGCACTTTGGGAGGCCGAGACGGGCGGGTCACGAGGTCCGGAGATCGAGACCATCCTGGCTAACATGGTGAAACCCCGTCTCTACTAAAAAATACAAAAAAACTAGCCGGGCGAGGTGGCGGGCGCCTGTAGTCCCAGCTACTTGGGAGGCTGAGGCAGGAAAATGGCATAAACCCGGGAGGCGGAGCTTGCAGTGAGCCGAGATCCGGCCACTGCACTCCAGCCTGGGCGACAGAGCAAGACTCCATCTCAAGAAAAAAAAAAAAAGATGAAGACAAACAGGAAAGCAAGGGTTTTGTTCAGAGCACTGGGCACAACCATGTATCTTAAAGAGAGAGCTGGCATTTGCTGATGGACTGAATGTGGAAGGTGAGGATAGGGTCATCTGTTAGACTGAAGAGACTGGTGATAAAACTGGTTTGGGAGGTAAAATAAAGTTCTGCTTTTGTCATATTAAATTTGAGGAACCTATTATATATCCAAGTAAGTATGTAAGTTAGGAACTTGGTGGAATGGCCATGGTGAGGCATATAGGCAATAGAGTAAGTAACATTTTAAAAACACATGAAACTGGCTGAAATCATTCAGGGAGAATATTACTAAAGAAAAACAGAGGGCCAAGGACTGAACCTGAAAACACACACGTTTATGGATGGAACAGGGATTATAGTAAAAAAGACCGAAGGATTAGAGAAGGCAGAGGAAAACCAGGAAAATGATGTCTCAGAAGTCAACAGAAAGGCATTTCAAGCAGGACGTAGTTATATCCACTGATCTTTGCTAAGAGGCCAATTAAGAAGAGAACAGAAAAGTGACCAATTATTCAGTATATGGAGATCATTGGTAACTTTGACAAATGCAACCTCTGCAGAATGACGTCATGATGCCAAATGAGATGGGTGGTGGAAAGAATGGGATGTGCAAAAAAGGAAATGACTATAAATTCTTTGAGTAGCATTGCTGTCAAGAGTAACAAGAGCAGTAGTTGGAGAAGGGAGGACTTTTTTTTTTTTTAATTTGAGACATACAGCTTAAGTATCCCTTATCTGAAGTGCTTCCGACCAGAAGCATTTTGGAGCTGGAAATATTTGCATTATACTTAAGTCAAGCAGCCCTAATCAAAAAACCTGAAATCTGAAATGTTCCAATTAGCATTTCTTTTAAGTGTCATGTCAGTGCTCAGATTTTGGAACACTGGATTTCATATTTTCAGATTTGAGAAACTCAACCTCTAACACAGTATGCTTGCATTCTGCATTTAGTAGACAAAGAGAAATAGAAAAAAAAGAGAGGTTATAATTTTAAGTCCTTGAGAAGGAAGGGGAGGATCCAGAAAACAAGTGGAGGGGATGGATGCCTATAAATAGTACGTATCAACTATTTTAACAGGAAGGCAGGTAGATATGAAGAGAGAGGTAGGGATGCTAGTCGACTGGTGCTAGGAAGAAACGAGAGCTCTCATGTGATGTCTTCTTTTTCCTCAGTAGAGTACACAGTATGGCTGGTGTTAAGGCAGTAAGAAGGAAGTAGAATAGGGCAAGGGAGTGCTTATCTAGGCAAGCTATGAAGAGAAGTACAGATGTGAAGAGAAGTACAGATGTAAAGAGTACAGATGCAAAGGTCAGGTTCTGGCCCCCAAGTGAAAAACTTCATAAATATTCAAAGTTGTTTCTTTCAGCCGGGCGCGGTGGCTCAAGCCTGTAATCTCAGCACTTTGGGAGGCCGAGACGGGTGGATCACGAGGTCAGGAGATCGAGACCATCCTGGCTAGCACGGTGAAACCCCGTCTCTACTAAAAAAATACAAAAAACTAGCCGAGCGAGGTGGCGGGCGCCTGTAGTCCCAGCTACTCGGGAGGCTGAGGCAGGAGAATGGCGCAAACCCGGGAGGCGGAGCTTGCAGTGAGCTGAGATCTGGCCACTGCGCTCCAGCCTGGGCGACAGAGCCAGACTCAGTCTCAAAAAAAAAAAAAAACAAAGTTGTTTCTTTCATAATTTCTTAATTGTAACTATATGGAAATTTCCAGTTGATGAGCTATTTGTTCTATTTTAGAAGAACTACGTCTATATGTTTCAGTATACCCTGAAGGTTAAAGATCACACATAAATTCATTTCCAGATAGCTATACATGTCTCATTTCATCTCCTATTATTATTAGTTTTAGAGACAGGGTCTTGCTCTATCGCCCACGCTGGAGTGCAGTGGTGCAATCACTGCAATTCTGCTTTACCTCTTCCTTCTCTAATCCTTCCTTCTCTAGTCCTGCAGTGGTACAGGAGCATCACTTGAGCCCAGGGGTTTGAGACTGTAGTGAGCTCAAACTCCTGGGTTCAAGTGATCCTCCTGCCTTAGCCTCCCAAAGTGCTGGGATTATAGGCATGAGCCACCAAAGCCCAGCCTCATTTCATGTTCTAAAGGCTGTTGGGAACAGTGATAGAAATTAAACATCATCTGTCACGAAACATCATATAGTCATTTATATACATATATGTATACATACAGATAAATGTGACATATATATCATATACGTATAACAAATACAAAGACATTTTAAAGACAAAAATTTTGTACCTGAGATTTTTCTAGGAGATCGACCAAAATAGGAGGTAATTCTTCTGCATCCAAATATTCAAGCAACTCTCCTTCTTCATAGGGCAGTCGAATGGTCTCAGAATCTTAATTTAAAACATAAAGTTTGAAAATGATGACGCTCACTGAAAGCTTAGCTGTATAATTCAAATGGCTTTTCAAAAAAATGTCTATAATAAAACCAAAAGGCATTTCAACAAAGCAAGGATTGAAAAAAAACCAAAACCAAAAGGCCCTCCTAATGTTCTTCTTTATTTAAGGGGTGGGGGGGGGAACCTAACACATTATGAAAAAACATCTGGCATAACATCACAATCGGAATCACAGCCCAAAGCAAAATAATCAGAATATGATAAAATTCCAATGTCAAAGTAACTGAAAGTTCACTGAAGACCAATTAATCTAAACTGGAAATCAGAGGACACTTTGGTGCGTTATCTGAAAAGTGGTCACTTGTAGAACAAAATTCTCTTGGTGTTACACTTTACAACTAATCAACACACACACAAAATTCTAGCTATGAGAGTTCCTTGTAGAACTCACATTATCATCATTATTAAATTTTTTTATCTCTTTAATGAAACTGAAGAGTATTTATATTTTTAAATTATTTTCATACTCACCATTAACAGAAATGCTCATATTCAATATTAATAGAAATATTTTTAATATGTGAAAATTACTCAAAAGGCAGCAAGTCTGCTTAATTTTGAAGATTTCAGACTCATATTCGAACTGTAGGATTACCTACCTTTAAACACGGTATACTATCTTAAAATATAAATAGCAATAGAATGAAAGGAAATTCTATTTTAATTATCTGTAAGTTATGTTTCTATAATTTTCCTTTTTTTTTTTTTTTACCTTTCCTTTGGTTCTGAGATGCTTTTATAATTGGACTTCAAAGACATATCAATTACAATACTTCTAAAATGCACATTCAGGAAAGATAACCATAAGAGAAACAATTTCTAATATTCTACCAAAACATATCATAAGGAAGAAAATTGGGATCAAAATCTGTTTTTATCACTAAGTCATCACTATCTGAAGAACAAATGCTTTAGCAGGTTAAAAAACTACTTTAAAAAAACAGCACATCCTGCCTGGCAAAAGTATTTTGTGGCAGCTGTGCTCTGGAGGGTCTTACCTGATCCGTTTTTTCCCCTGAGCATCAGAGAATATCCCTCATTTCCTGGGTACAGATTGACCACTAAACAAGACAAAGTCTCTTGCATAACAAGCTTCTCTAACAAGTTCACATTTCTTCTTAATTTCTGCTTTAAAAAGAGGCAGAGCTCATGAAAATAATCCAGTATAACCTGAATAAATAATGCTATAATTTAACAAAATCAGGGTTGAAGTAACCTTTTGGTGCTCTTTCCGCATTATGATTCTGAATAAATGAAGAAGACTCACAAAACTATAGCCACTACATATGGGACAGCTATGTAAACTTAATTTTTATCTACTACTATGTTTCAAGCAAATTAATTCATATTTTAAAAACTGGTGACCTCCAAGACAATAAAAGCACTTAAATATAAAACACTTTTGAATACTTAATAAAAATATTTAAATAAGTAGAATATAAAATCATTAAATGCAAATATATAAAACACAGAAGTATATAGTTTCCATTAAGTATAAGTCTAACCTAAAGAATATGGAGCATTCTCTTTGGTTGTATCTAAGAAGTGCACATTTCTTAAATATTTTATAGGCTAAATAAGATACAAACAAGTTCAACAGCTCTAAGCTGAAACGTTGAACCTAAAAGTATCTAATTGGTAAGACGAAGTAAGCAATTTGGACATATTCTGTAAATCCGATTCAACAGCGCCTTAAAAACCACAACAAAGTCCATGATTTTAAAAATGCGTATGATTTAAAATAAAACCTACTTACAGATTTAACAAATCATGTCATCAAATCTCATTTAGCACAGATAACAGTAAACAGAATATTTTTTCAGAATCTCAAAAAAAACAAAATGTCTTGAATATCTTATATTTAGTAAATATATATTAAACATGTATCATACACACATACAGAGAGAAGTGATAAATTCTTAATCTGTCATCACCATAGAATGAAAACACTAAGCAATCTGAAAATTTTTTAAAAAGGCAAACAACTTTTAACCACTTTGATGTTAAACTAGAAAAGAGAGACTAAAAATGTTAGTCTTTTCAGTGTAGCAAAATCCCTCATAATTTGACTTAAGACAGAATTAGATAAATTTTTATAGTATATGTACCTCTTCAACAAAACAAATTAGCTACCACGGAGTTGATCCCATCTAGACTAGAGGTTGCAAATTTTCTTTCTTAATGGGTCAGACAGTATTTTATGCTTGTAGGCCAAATAGTTTGTGCTGCAACACTCAATGTGTCTTTGTACCTGTAAGCCAGCCCTAGATAATATACAAACCAACAGGTGTGATGGGTTCCCATAAAAATTCATTTATAAAAACATGTAGTAGGCACATTTAGCTGATGGAGAGCAGCTTGCCAATTCCAATTTAGAATCTTCATATATGCAGCTCTCTTATTTTAGTTCTGTCACTGAGGTGATGAATATGTGCATTCTATTGTTTGTAGTGATGATTTCATGGGTGTTTCTATCTACAATGCACATGTCAAAACTTAAAAAATATATACTTTAAACATGTACAATTTATTGTATGTCACTTATATATCAGAAAAACTTATCAAAAACATACTGTAAGATTTATAAGTTTAAAAATAATTTTTTTCCTAATATGAAGATTTTAAAGTTAGACACTACTGGAATTCCACTGTTTCTGGCCTGAATAGTAAAACTGTATTCATTTTTAAAGACAGACAACAAAAGCTCATAGAGACCTTTAAGGCTCTTCCAACCTGAGGGCTCAAAGACATCAATAAATCAACTTCTGTTACATTTCTACTACCCACATATTTTGCTAAATAAAAATGAATTAAGTTAAATTGGCCATGAACTCGTTTTATGAGCAAGCTCACTTTTTATTACTGTACTTGAATTTCATACATGCTCTGTAATAGCTCTGGCTTTCCAGTTCAAATCATCATGAGAAAACAGGTTACTGCTATAAATTTGTAAATCACTTCTCAGGAGGAAGCGCTATAAATTTATAAATCACTTCTCAGACGAAGAAGAAGCAAAAGATAATATATACTGTGTCTTTGCTCATCACTTCCTAGTGAGACAGTCTGTTATTCAATATAACTGTTCCTTCACTCCTACCTTAGCAGGTGATCTCTGCCTGGGGCCACATTAGCCAGAGCTCTGGGTCAGCTGCAGAACTGACTAGTATCTGGCTAAAAAAGATGTTAGTTCACTCACACACACAAAAATAATACTCCAAATGTAACTCCTCCAAATTACTCTCTTCTACATTTCAAAAGCTACAACACAATAAAAATGTATACTTACCTTAACCTCAGGTTCTTTTTCACATTCTTCAATATACAGGTCATAAAGTTTTTGAAACACAGATTTTCTAAAAAAATTTAATGAAACAAATATATAAAATGTTAATATAGTAATCATCATGACATGAATGTTATTTTTTTCCTAAATTTTAACATTTTTTCCTCAATTTCCCAAAAACTGGGGTGGAGCTGAATATAGTAGCTAACATTAACTTAGAAATTCCTAATACATGCAAAGAACCTATAAAATTTCTAGTTCAGTGCCTACTAGGAATGTAATAAAAGGTGGCCGCCATCATATTTCAATGAATCTAAGACGTTACCAATTAATTATTCATACCTTCCACTTGATAGGTATTTCCTTTTAGGAGGTCTCTGTCGGGCACTTTCAATGACATACTAAAAAACAAAAGTTTATGAGAATAGCTAGCCTTTTGCTTTTGACTATGAACAACTGTATTGAGTATATCTAAAACATAAGTAAGGCTCAAAAGGCTATTCAGTCACTTAAGTCTCTGAATTACATCTTGTAGGAAAAACTACTTAACATATAAAGATAAGTTTCAAACAAATGAAATTTGAACTGCACTACAATTTAGCAGGGTATTTCATTGCCATAAGCAAAATCATAGTTTCACAACCATGACTTTCACAGGTCAGAAATATTATCAATATATTTTATGGTTGTTCAAAATATGCTTAATGTATGAAAAATCGTATACTGTATACCTTAGCTATTTTTTCCTTTGAGTAATTAGAAAACTTGTCAAAACAGGAAAATACAATTTTGGAAATTCTATATCCTTGTACAAGTAAGTTTTATTCCATAACATTATTATCTTGAGGATTCCAAGTAATAGGTGATCCAAATATCACCTGATATTTTTATATATTTATAGCAAAATGATATGCATACTTGTCCTAAAATAATAATGTGCTCCTTTAAAAACCACATACAAAAATCTCTTAAAACTGAGCTTTTGTCAGTTAAAGACAACACTATTTCAATATGTAACTTAGTCACACCTCACCTCTGCACGATCCAAAGCTAGTTCTAAAGCTTGTTGCTGTAAAAAGTAAACAGTATATTTGGCAACATTAGTTATTTCCACAAAAAAAATTTAATATACATTTAACATTTCTAATGTTTTCTAAAACAGGTCTAATATATTCTCCTTTATTTGTCTCCTCCACTCCACTCTATGATCAATATATACAACAAAGAAAAAATATGAGTCTTGGGCACCTGATTACTAACAACAAACTAAATAAGAATGCTAACACGGTCTCTCTGGTCAGTATTTGTGAGGTTAACATAGGGGAGGTTTGGATATGGCAGCTATCATCACTTCATGGACTTTAGTTTTTAAGAGCACCATTCAAAAAAATTTACTGGCCATAAAGTATACAATCAAAATGAAGCAAAGGCTAAACTCTCTTAATTTGCTAAAAATCTTGAAAATTGGGAGTGGGGTTGTACTGGCACTTAAAATTAACTTAGAAAGTGCTAATATATTAATGCAAAAAACCTATAACATCTCTAGCTCAGTGCCTAGAAAGAATGCAATAAATGATGGCTATCATTGTCATGTTTCAATGAATTTAAGATGCCACTGAAAGCATGCATCATTATTTTGCGTAACATTAAGACAGAAAAAAAAGCTATAAATTGTAAGATATTCGAGTATCAACTCATCAATTCAGTGATATTAAAATATAAAAGAAAATGAACCTCAGAATTGATGAAATATTTTACTGTTACTACATGTAAGGTTTGAGATCTACTAGTAGATCCCTATCCACTCATTTCTTAGAGACGAGGAAAAAATATGGTGAAGCTATGCTATTTCTTCATTTGTAAAGCTTTCATTTCTAAAGACACATATGAATAAAAGCACTAGGTCCTAAACAAAATCAAACATGGCCAGGCATGGTGGCTCACGCCTGTAATCCCAGCACTTTGAGAGGTCGAGGCAGGAGGATCACCTGAGGTAAGGAGTTCAAGACCAGCCTGGCCAACATGGTAAAACTCCATCTCTACTAAAAATACAAAATTAGCCAGGCGTGGTGGCACACGCCTGTAGTCCCAGCTACTCAGGAGGCTGAGGAAGGAGAATCACTTGAACCCGGGAAGCAGAGGTTGCCGTGAGCCCAAATCGTGCTATTGTACTAGAGCCTGGGCAAAAAGAGCTAAACTCAAATCTAAAAAAAAAAAAAAAACCACCTAAATATACCACCAGTGGTTCTCTTTCTCGTTTTTTTGTTTTATAGTATTTTTCATTCACAATGATAGCCATTTTTAAATTTTATTCAGAGGCATAGAACTTTCAGTTTTTAATTAAAAGGACTTAAATTGTTCGGTCTTATTTTGTAGATTCCAATACTTCAACCTACCAAATTGCATGTGGGTAAAAACTCCTACCACCCACCAAAGTCCCAGGAGGGCAAGGGGGAAAAACAAATACTGCCACCCTTTGGAAATCATGGGAACTTTTAAGTGACCACCTAGTTCTAAGGATGGAGAATTTGTATAATTCCAAAAATAGTGGGCCTTCTTGCACTGTTCAATAAAAAACAATCCATATTATCAAATATCTAAATATGATAAGTGAAGAAAGTCTGAAATCTGCCATCTTTTCAAAACGTTCAGTTATAACAAATCTACACCAATTTGCTTTGTTAAAAAATCTTGGCCAGGCACTGTGGCACATGCCTGTAATCCCAAAGCTTTGGGAAGTTGAGGTGGGAAACCAGGAGTTCGAGACTAGCCTGGAGAATACAGTGAGATTCTGTGACTCCCCTCAAAAAAAAAAAAAAAAAAATCTTATAAGGAGCAGATTCCCAATGAAACTGGTTCCCAGGATTCAAGTTAAGATTCCTGAATCCGGCCGGGCGCGGTGGCTCAAGCCTGTAATCCCAGCACTTTGGGAGGCCGAGACAGGCGGATCACGAGGTCAGGAGATCGAGACTATCCTGGCTAACACAGTGAAATCCCGTCTCTACTACAAAAAAATACAAAAAACTAGCCGGGCGAGGTGGCGGGCGCCTGTAGTCCCAGCTACTCGGGAGGCTGAGGCAGGAGGATGGTGTGAACCCGGGAGGTGGAGCTTGCAGTGAGCTGAGATCCGGCCACTGCACTCCAGCCTGGGCGACAGAGTGAGACTCCGTCTCAAAAAATAATAATAATAATAAAAAAAGATTCCTGAATCCCATTTTCCCTGATCCCATTTTCCACCATGAAAACATAATTCTGTACATATACACTTCACAAATACAGAAGGTTCTTTTAAATTTTGCCCATAAAAGTTCAGAGTTTGTATCAAAAAATTATAATAAACACAATCAAATATATATAGTCTAGGACAATTTTAAACAGTCAACATCTCAAGTAAATATTTCGTCTTCTGAAATTAAAACTTCAAAGGGTCTAGAGAGACATGTCTACATACATAAATAAAAGCATCATTCATTCATTACCTCCTTCAAATACTTAAGAGGAAAATGATTAGGTAATATAGATGCAAAATACAAGGTGTGGTCAGAACCCCACTGTGATATTTCTACTTTTCTCTAATAGGGGAGGATTAGATAGGCAAGAACCCAAGAGGATAAGGAAGATGGATGTTTTCTGAAGATTTGATGCAGAACAGGGGTTATCTAAACAAATAACATGGTGGTCAATGTTTATTTATTCTCTGTCAAATGCTGCTGCTTCTCTAAAACATTAAAAAGTGTTTTTCTCCCTTAGTCTGTCATTTCTTAATGGCAAAAGTTAAATGCCTTCTCCTAAGTATGTTTAGCGACTCTAAGTCAGTGAACAGAAATGTGCCTTTAGAAGTTCAGCACTGACTCCGTCTAAAAAAAAAAAAAAAAAAAAGAAGTTCAGCACTGATGCTGCCTGAAATACGTTACGTGCAGTTAGCAGGTTACATTTGTTTTTAAAGTTTAATAAAATCTAAAGAAAAGCTTTAAAATATGAGAAATCTATACTCCCCAAAACTGTTTGTATTTATACCCATCCTCCTTGCCAACGATTTGGAATATGGCAAAGCAGATAGTAGTAAATATTTTTAATACTTCATAAACACAAGAACAGATAGATGGATGAATGTGATAATTATAACACTGATTAGTGGCGAACATATTTTATAGAGAAGATTTTGCAATGTGATTGCTAAGTAATTTCCCAGTTGGAATAGCTTGTACAGCTTACAAGAGTATTTCTGTATCTACAATACAAATATCTTTATGAAGATGAAGGAAGAGAACGTTCTAAAACACAAATTTGAACATACTGAGCTGCAGCTTACCATTATGGCATAAAATAAGGATCCAAAAGAAGAGATAACTTATGTACGCTGATGAAGTGGGGTGAACACCATGCCTTTAACATCAATCTTACAGTACTGAAAAGCAAAAACAATAAAACCCCAATATTAACATAAGGCTATTAACAGAAAAAAATGAGATTACATATTTAATAATTAACAAGGAAAATTACTTGTCTTTTTAAGACATATATATTTTTAAGACATTTTTTAATAATGTGTAACAATAAAATTTATGTGCTACAACCTATCCACTCACTGCTGAAAAGTAGTTTTAACTAGGTAGGGCAAAACACATTTGCAAGTTTCAATTATTACTCCCTTTCTTCAAAAATATTTAACATCCCCAGAGAGAAAAAAAGATTTTTTAAAAATCTCTTCTCTATCACCACTGTTGCTGTTCTCATTTTTCCTCTGAATTATTTTAATAGCCTGCCCACTGGGCTAGTTCACTACACAGCTGACTTTACAAATCACAGATATAATCATGTCTGCTGATAAAAAATCCTTACTAAGAGGGCACAAACAAATAGAAAAAAAAAAATCCATGCTCATGGATAGGAAGAATCAATATTGTGAAAATGGCCATATTGCCCTAAGTGCTTATAGATTCAATGCTATTACCATTAAGCTACCATTAACTTTCTTCACAAAACTAGAAAATAATACTTTAAATTTCATATGGAACCAAAAAAGAGCCTGTATTGCCAAGACAATCCTCAGAAAAAAGAACAAAACTGGAGGCATCACGCTGTCTGACTTCAAACTACACTACAAGGCTACAGTAACCAAAATAGCATGCTACTGGTACCAAAACAGATATATAGACCAATGGAACAGAACAGAGGCCTCAGAAATAACACCACATATCTACAACCATTTAATATTCAACAAACCTGACAAAAACAAGCAATGGGGAGAGGATTCCCTATTTAATAAACGGCGCTGGGAAAACCAGCTAGCCATACACAGAAAACAGAAATTGGACCCCTTCCTTATATCTTATACAAAAATTAACTCAAGATGGATTAAAGACTTAAACATAAAACCTAAAACCATAAAAACCCGAGAAGAAAACCTAGGGAATACCATTCAGGACATAGGCATGGGCAAAGACTTCATGACTAAAACACCAAAAGCAACTGCAACAAAAGCCAAAATTGACAAATGGGATCTAATTAAACTAAAGAGCTTCTGCTCAGCAAAAAAAGCTATCATCAGAGTGGGAGAACATTTTTGCAATCTACCCTTCTGACAAAGGTCTGATATCCAGAATCTACAAGCAACTTAGAAGAAAAAAACAACCCCATCAAAAAGTGGGTGAAGGATATGAACAGACACTTCTCAAAAGACATTTATGAGGCCAACATATGAAAAAAAACTCATTATTACTGGCCATTAGAAAAATGCAAATCAAAACCACAATGAAATACCATCTCACGCCAGTTAGAATGGCGATCATTAAAAAGTCTAGAAACAACAGATGCTGGTGAGGCTGTGGAGAAATGGGAATACTTTTACACTGTTGGTGGGAGTGTAAATTAGTTCAATCATTGTGGAAGATGGTGTGGCGATGCCTCAAGGATCTAGAACCAGAAATACTGTTTGACCCAGCAATTCCATTACTGAGTATATACCCAAAGGATTATAAATCATTCTACTATAAAGACACATGCACACGTAACATATGTTTACTGGAGCACTATTTACAATAATGAAGACTTGAAACCAACCCAAATGGCCACCAGTGATAGACTGGATAAAGAAAGGGTGGCACATATACACCATGGAATACTATGCAGCCATAAAAAAGAATGAATTCATGTCCTTTGCAGGGACATGAATGATTCTGGAAACCACCATCCTCAACAAACTAAGACAGGAACAGAAAACCAAACAGCACATGCTCTCACTCCTAAGTGGGAGTTGAACAATGAGAACACATGGACACAGGGAGGAGAACATCACACACTGGGGCCTGTTGGGGGCAAGGGGAGGGAGAGCATTAGGACAAATACCTAACACATGCAGGCCTTTAAACCTAGATGACGGGTTGATGGGTGCAGTAAACCGTCATGGCACACCTATATGTATGTAACAAACCTGCACGTTCAGCACATGTATTCCATAAATTAAACTAAAATAACAATAATAAAAAGACACATTATCTAGCATGTTTGATACAAAAACCAAAAACAAAACCAAACCTCACTCCTTGGGTACACGTTTTTAATATTCGGTGGAAAGAGAAGGGAATTTATAAACCATTTCTGCTAAATACTAAAATATGATGGTTTTTACCAGGGCACAGCCCTTGTTTTTTAGATGCAAATGAATCAGCTGCTTTTTCCATTTCTACTTGAAAAAATAACTGATAAGCAAATTATAGATATTCAAACAAGTATTTTTTGCTTGCTTAAAAATAACAAAGTAAGCCCATCACTTCAGGAAAAACAACTTCCCATGTTAAATGGTGCTGGGAAAACTGGCTAATAATAAAATTTGAACCCATAAGGTTATAATTTCAAGGGACTTTTATGTGACTGCTATTATTCAAAGGCTTTTTCTGACGAGATTGCTGGTGACACTGATAAATCGATTTTTTGATATTGTTTAATGAAATGTATTGACATTCAAAAGATCTTTGTAACTCTCACAACTTGATTTTCCAAATAACCAATGAATGAGGTTTCAAAATTATGCATGGATAAAGACTGATTCAAAGCTGCAGAGAGAAAAATGGATTTCAAACTAACAGAATATAAAGTTCACTGATATAATTTCAAGTTCAGATTGCAACTTAACTTTGAAAAACAACGATGTTTTGAGTTTTGTGCAGTGTCAAAAATAAAGTACACACTTACCTAAAATGATTATTAAAATTCTGATGTCTTCCACGTAAAAAAATTAAAATAAAATAAAATCTCATGGATGCTTAACAGAAACACAAATCTCTACAAAGTAAAAAAGTTAAAATTGGCATTTAGTATATGGTATTTTCGGCTATTTACTGTGTATTGCATTAAGAGAAGCAGGAAAGAAAGAATTCATCAGATAAAATATTATATTATTTAGGAGTAGCCCCATAATGCTAATTTTTCAGTCAGAAAAATATTTCCAAACCTCTCAGACATTTTTTAAAAATTTATACTATGTGTGAATTTTTTTGCATTTAAGAGTAACTTTAATTTTTTTATGGCAACTCAGAGATCTAAGAAAACGAGAGATAAGACAACTCAACATGACTTCTGAGATCTAATCTCAAGAAATGCGTGTGTGTATTTTTTTATAACGTTTTTCAAAATCTGCATTTTGCTACGAGATAATTGTACATTCACATGTAGTTGTAATTAATAATATTTATGTACTCTTTACCCACTTTTCCTCAAAAGTAACGTCTTGCAAAGGTGTTGTAAAAGCAGTAATTTTGGCTGGGCGCAGTGGCTCACACCTGTAATTCCAGCACTTTGGGAGGCTGAGACAGGAGGATCACTTGAGGTCGGGAGTTCAAGACCAGCCTAACCAATATGGATAAACTCCGTTTCTACTAAAAGTACAAAATTAGCCAGGCATGGTGGCGCATGCCTGTAATCTCAGCTACTCGGGAGGCTGAGGCAGGAGAATCGCTTGAACCTGGGAGTCGGAGGTTGTGGTGAGCCAAAATCGTGCCACTGCACTCCAGCCTGGGCGACAGAGCAAGACTCCCTCTCAAAAAAAAAAAAAAAAAAAAAAAAAAAAAAATTAGCCAGGCGTGGTGGCGCGTGCCTATAGTCCCAGCTACTTAGGAGGCTGAGGGAGGAGAATCGCTCCCGGGAGGCGCATGTTGCAGTGAGCCGAGATCGCGCCGCTACACTCTGGCCTGGATGAGAAAAAAATAAAATAAAATTCTCGTATTAATATCCTCCAAATGCCTCAGGATACATTTTCCAGATGCCAATTCCAATGCCACCAGCCCTTAAGCAACTATGCACTCTTGAAAACCTTCTTTCCTGTAACTACAGGAGTTCTCATCCTGGCTGCACAAAAGTAACTTGCGGAGCTTGAAACTGTGGGATGCCTGTGACCCACCCGCTTGAGACAGATTAAGTGGTCTAGAGCGAGGCATGGTCCCCACTTTTGGAGCTTCCCAGACGAGTCAAATGTGCTGCCAGGGTTAAAGCTCACTCTGCCTAGCACAGAGATGGTGCATAACATTTGCTCTGAGATAAGACTGGGCATGGTCGTTCACACCTGTAACCCCAGGACTTTGGGGAGCCCAGGTGGGAGGCTCATCTGAGCTGAGGAATTTGAGACCAGTCTGGCCAACATAGTGAGACCTTGTCACTACCAAGGCAAGAAAAAAAAATCAGTCCAACATGGTGGTACACGTCTGTAGTCCCAGCTACTCGGGAGGCTGAGGCAGGAGGATCACTTAAGCTTGGGAAAGAGGCTGCAGTGAGCCATGATCACACCACTGTACTTCAGCCTGGGTAACAGAGCAAGACCCTGTCTCAAAAAATAAATAAATAAAATAGAAAACATTTGCTCTGAGAGTGATGACAAATAAAAATTATTGTTTATCTATTCACCTAACTTCATGTAACCACTACTGGGTGTCTACACAGCTGAACTAAAGCACAACTTCTGATGACAGAAAACAAGATTTTCCAGGTAAAACAGTTTTGCTTTGATTTTTGGTGAAGCCCAAAGCTTTGTTTTGTGCCAAGTCATTTAAAAAAAAAAAAAGGAAAGGGCCAGGTGGGGTGTGGCTCACGCCAGTAATCCCAGTACTTTGGGAGGCGGAGGCTGCCGATGGCCTGAGCCCTGGAGCAGTAGTTCCGGACCTGCCTGAACACCATCGGGAAAGTGTCTCTACAAAAAAATACAGAAGGCCGGGCGCAGTGGCTCACGCCTATAATCCCAGCACTTTGGAAGGCCAAGGCAGGTGGATCGCTTCAGCCCGGGAGTTCGAGACCAGCCTGGACAACATGGCGAAACCCCGTCTCTACTAAACACACAAAAATCAGCCGGGTGTGGTCACGTGCACCTGTAATCCCAGCTACTCAGGAGGCTGAGGCAAGAGAATCGCTTGAACCTGAGAGATGGAGGCTGCAGTGAGCCAAGATCGAGCTACTGCACTCCAGCCTGGGAGACAGAGCGAGACTCCGTCTCAAATAAAAAAAATAAAAAATAAAATAAATAAAATAAATAATAAATAAATAAATTTTGGCTAGGGCAGTGGTTCATGCCTGCAAGAGGCAGAAGCAGGTGGATCACTTGAGGTCAGGAATTCGAGACTAGCCTGACCAACAATGGTGAAACCCAGTCTCTACTAAAAAAATAAAAAAGTAGCCGGGTGTGTCGGCACACGCCTGTAATCCCAGCTACTCGAGAGGCTGAAGCAGGATAATCGCTCGAACCGGGAGGCACAGGTTGCAGTGAGCCGGGATCGCGCCATTGCACTCCAGCCTGGGCAAGAAGAGAGAAACTCTGTCCGGCGGGGCGGGGGACTAAACAACTTTTAAAAACGGACTAAACTCCTAATACAACACAAACACAAGCACCATACAACTGTAAATGATTTACAATCATTTACAATGAGTAAATTATTACTCCTACCCTTGAAGAGCTCGTAGGAGTTGTTCTTTAAGTTGAATTTAGGTTAAGGTGAAAATGTTCTGACCACTGAATTTGAAGACGAAGATATGCTACGTACTTTCAGACAAAATATGATGACTTTAAGATTTCTTGTCACTAAATTGGGGATAGGGGCTTACTAACTTTAAACTATTTAAATCCTTCAGACAAAAACTAATAACTTCATATCTCTCACAAAGCAAACATTCTGACTGTATACAGTACTAGAATCTGCGAGAAAATTGTAATCATTATCATCTCCATTTTATAGAATAAGACAATCAGAACAACTGACTTTCCTAACATCACAGATCTAGACCAGAATTCAGAACTCTCGACGTCCACTCTTCGGTCCCTTCCAATATCACAACCTGCAAACTAATCAAATCAGCACCTGTTTTTACATTTTTTTAAAAAAGCAACGCATTTAAAAAAAGGACCCAATTATGCTCAGAGACGAATACGTATTTCTCAATTTGGGTCTAACTTTATAACACGGTGATCAACCCAAGTACACTGTACTCAACTCCGAAAATCCTGCTCTTCACTTTATATTTTGAGTCCTACTAGAGACTGATGAATTGCACTCAAGAAGACGCGGCCCCCACTACGCAGTGGTTACGGGAGATGGCTTCCAGGGCAACTGTTCTCCAAGTTCAGTTCTGAGCGCCGGGTAACCATGGCCAGTAATTAATCCAAATTCTAAACGTTGCTATCAATTCTACTGATTTCCCTGATCGATCAGTCTTCCCACTGCAGGAGCTTCTGTCACAACTTAGGCTTTACCTGTAAAACCGTCATCTCCACAGAGGAGCGACCAGCCTTTATGCAATATGGACACCAAGAAAAACGCCTCCGAAGACACGCAAGGCAAAATTCTTGCCAATGTCCGGAAATACCCGTATCTGGAACCCAAAAGTCAAACTAAAATTCAAAGTTCAGCTTAGCAACACCGCGAAAAGCGATGTACGCGGCGTCCGCCCGGAGGTTAGCTGCCTCAACCCCCGCCCCGGCCTGCCGGGTCTCTGGGGACCCCGTCTTCCTCCAGCGGGCTCTGGGATGCGGCCCGCTCACCTCTGACCCTGGCCGGATATCGCGCGCCTAAGCCACCGCGTTGCCAGTCGCTGGTCAGTCCCACCCACCTACCGCCGCCGCCCACCTGTGCGGGTCGCCTTGCCGCTAAGACGGCGCCGCCTGCTCGGCCGCAAAGCCCACCCGCCCCCTCGGCCGCTGCGTGCTGCACCCCCACCAACGGCCTGTTCCGGCGGCCGCACTTCCGACTGGCGGGCTGGGCCGGGGGGCGGGGAAGGCGGGCGGAAGGGGAGGAGCTGGGGGGCGGGGCCGCGGCCAGGAGCCTGCCTCGCAGCGTTCAGCGGAGGATCCCAGTGAGGCCCGCAGAGACTCAGGTCTGGGCGGGAGGCGGGGCCCAGAAGCTCTGGTCAGACCTGCAGTCCCAGTCCACAAAATGGGAGGGAGGGTGTAGATGTGAATTTGGGGAAAAGCGACTCTGTGGAATTTCTAGAGTGGAAGAAACGTAGAACTAGCTTTTCTCTTTGCTTAACACATCCAAATGGAGAAACAGCGACACCGTTACCTACATTTACTAGTCCAATGCGTACAACCTTCTGTAGTATATCAATTGCCAATGAGTTTAATGTTTTTTAAAAAATCACCCCAGAGAAGGGTTCTAAAAATTCAGAAACCGCATTACCAGCCCGCATTGTAAAGTCTGTTTCGTTTTGTTTTGTTTTGTTTGTTTTTCAGACAGTCTTGCTCTGTCGCCCAGGCTGGAGTGGAGTGGTGAAATCTCAGCTAACAGCAACCTTTGCCTCCTGGGTTCAAGCTATTCCCCTGCTTCAGTCTCCGGAGTAGCTGGAATTATAGGGGTGCACCACCACACCCGGCTAATTTTTGTATTTTTAGTAGAGACTGTTTCACTATGTTGGGCAGGCTGGTCTTGAACACCTGATCTCTAGTGATCCACCTGCCTCGGCCTCCCAAAGTGCTGGGATTACAGGCGTGAGCCAATCGTGCGCGGCCTGGGGTGAACCTTTTTAATGAGCATTTATTATTTGCCATTCACAATGCCAAGTGTCATAATGAATGAAAATGTCTTGGAATTAGAGGTGGTGGTTGCACACATTATAAATGTATTAAAGTACACCTCAAAATAAAATCCGAACACGTTAAGTGGTTACTCCCATTCTTCCCTCTCTCAGCCCCTGGTAAATGCCAATCAGCTTTCAAACTGTGGTACCTAATATGGATATTTCATATAAATGGAATGTGTGACCTCTTGGTCTGTTTTCTTAGCATGATCTTTTGCAGGTTCACCTTGTACACCTTGTGGCATGTATCAGTACTTCATTTCTCTTTATGGATACTATTCCACTGTACCTAGATGCCACAGTTTTACCTGTCCATCCACTGATGGACATTTGGGTTGTTTCCACTTTCGGGCTATTGTGAATAGTGATTATATGAACATTTGTATACAAGTATTTGTTCAAGTCCCTGTTTTCGATTCTTTTGGGTATAAACATAGTGGAACTTCTGGGTCTTATAGTAATTATACGTGAAAATATTTGAGGAACCCATAAACAAATGTTTCTGCAGCAGCTGAACCATTTTACATACCAAGAGCATTGTCGGGGATTCCAATTTCTCCACATCCTCATTAACACCATAATTTTCTATTCCTTTGATAGTAACTATCCCAAAGGGTATAAAGTGGTATTTTATTGTGGGTTTGATTTGCATTCCCTAATGGCTAGTTTTGTTGAGCATCTTTTCATGCTCTTGTTGGCCATTTGTATATCTTCTTTGGAGAACTCTCTGTTGAGGTCTTTCCACATTTTAAAATTGAGTTGTTTATCTTTTTGTTGTTCAAGTTATGTGTAGTTATATATTCTGGATATTAGACCCTTATGAGATATATCATTAGTGGATACTTTCTCCCATTCTATAGGTTGTCTTTTCACTTTCTTGATAAGATCCTTTAGTGTACAAACTTTTAAATTTTGATGAAGTCTAATTTATTTTGTTACTTGTGCTTTTGGTGTCATAACCAAGAATCCATTGTGCAAGCACACTAGCTTTCATGTCTCTTCTTATTAGTATACTAATTATATTGGATAAGGGCTCCACCTTTATGATCTTCTTAAACCTTAATTACCTCCTTATAGATCTTATCTCCAATACAGTGACATTGGGGTTTGGGGTTACACATATGAATTTTGTGGGGATATAATTTGGTCAACAGACTTCTGTACTCCTGCAATTCATGTCCTTATTGAATACAAAATACATTCATACCACCTCAACAGTCTCAAAAGCCTTAACTCATTCCAGCATCAACTCTGACGTCTGAAGTCCAAAGTCTCTTCTAAATATCACCTAAAACAGATAAGGATGAGACTTGAGATATGATTCATCCTGATGCAAATTTTCTCCCTATGAAACTGTAAAACCAGACAAATTATTTGCTTCCAAAATACAGTGGCAGAACAGGTATAGAATAGGCATTCAAAAAAAAAAAAAAAATAGAAAGAAAGAAAGGAAAGAAAAGAAATAGGGAAAAAGGAAGGGAGGACAGGTCCCAAGCAAGTCCAAAAATCTAGCAAGGCAAATTCTAATAGATATTAAGTCTCGAGAATAATCCATTTTGATTCAGTGCCCTGCCTTCCAGACCTGCTAGGGTGGTGGCCCTGCCTTCTGGACCCCAGGTGGATGCTGTATCTCTCCTCACACTCTGTCAGGCATGCTCTCCCAGGCAGAGTCTCATCCCAAAAGTTTTGCTAGGTAATGGCCTTGATAACATCTGAATTGCTTTGAGGTCCATCTCCCCTTTTCTTAAAGAATAGTGCAAGTATGGCCAGGTACAGTGGCTCATGCCTGTAATCCCAACACTTTGGGAGGCCAAAGTGGGCAGATCACGAGGTCAGGAATTTCAGACCAGCCTAGACAACATAGTGAAACCCCATCTCTACTAAATACACAAAAATTAGCTTGACCTGGTGGTGCTCGCCTGTAATCCCAGCTACTTAGGAGGCTGAGGCAGGAGCATCACTTGAACCTGGGAGGTGGAAGTTGCAGTGAGCCAAGATCATGCCATTGCACTCCAGCCTGGGCAATGGAGTGAGACTCCATCTCAAAAAAAAAAAAAAAAAAGAATAGTACAAGTTAGCAGCTGGAAAACTCTATTGTCCTACCTGTAGAATCTAGGACATGTAAAAGCCTTCCATCATTTTTGTCTTGTCTGCATCTCCTTCAGTTGAAACAGGCAGTGTTTCTGCTCATATAATCTCATCATTTATTTATCAAATGATAGTCTAACCATACCTTTGGTGTTCTCTTTGGAATATACTTTCTCATTTTATGCAATATGACAGGCAGAGAATTTTCCAGATATTTAAGTTTTGGTTCCTTTTTGCTTAACAATTTCTTCTTTCATTCATCTCTCTCCTGTTGCATTTTACTATAAGCATTCAGGAAGATCCAGGTCACACTTTCAGCATTTTGCTTAAAAATCTCAGATAAATATTCAATTTTGTCATTCATAAATTCTGTCTTACAGAAAACACTAGAAAACAAGTCAGCCAAGTTATTTGCTACTTTATAACAAGGATTGCCTTTCTTCTGTCGTCCAGTGACCGACTCCTCACTTCCATCTGAGACCTCACAAGAATGGCCTTTAACAAACAGGTATTTACCAAAATTCTGTTCATGATTATGTTTTCTCTGAGAAGATGGAGGCTTTGTCTTCAACTGTATTTCTGAGTTCTCACCAGAATTGCCTTTAACATCCATATTTCTAGCATGGAAATCTAGGCTTTTTCTAGCATGCACCTCAGAATTCTTTTAGCCTCTACCCATTACCTAGTTCCAAAGCCACTTTCACATTTTTAGGTTTTATTAAAGCAACACCCAACTTCTTGGTAGCAAAATCTATCTTAGTTTGCTCAAGCCACTATAATAAAATACCATATACTGAACAGCCTAAGCAACAGAAATTTGTTTGTCACAGTTCTGGAGGCTGCGAAGTCCAAGATCAAGGTGCTTGCCAATTTGGTTTCTGGTGAGGACTCTTTTACTGGCGAGTCCATGGCCACCTTCTTTCTGCATTCTTATATGTCAAAGGAAGGGGAAAAGGGAAGGGAAACAGACAGAGAAACACACACACAGAGAAAGAGATCTGGTGGGGTTTTTTGTTTTTTTTTTTTTTTAATAAAGATACTAATCTATAGGATCTGAATTCCACTCTTGTGATCCATTTAACCTCAGTTATCTTGTTATAGGTCCCATCTCCAAATACAGTGACATTGGGGGTTTGAGCTTCAATATATGAATTTTGAGGGGACATATTCAGTTCTTAGCAAATGCTATTATAAATGACAATTTTTAAAAAATTTTCCAGATTGCTCATTGCTTATGTATAGAAACAGTTGATTCTAGGGTATTGTCTTAGTCCATTTTCTGCTGCTGTAACAGAATACTACAGACTGGGTAATATATAATAAACAGAAATTTATTGACTCACAGTTCTGGATGCTGAAGAGTCTAAGATTGAAGGGCTGCCATCTGGTGAGAGCCTACTTGGTTTGTATGTTATCTCATGGTGGAAGGGCAAAGAGAGGACTAGAGAGCAAGGGATCAAACTTGAAGCCTCAAGTCCTTTTACAATTGGCGTTAATCTATTCATGAGAGTGGAGACCTCATGACCTAAACAACTTACATTAGGCTTACCACCCAACATTGTTGCATTATGGATTAAGTTTCTAGCATGTCCTTTGGGGGGATATATTCAAATCATAGCAGGTGTTGACCTTGTACTCTGAAAATTTACTTATTAGCTCTAATAATTTTTATGTGTGTATACAAGTATATATTCTTTAGGATTTCTATATATAGAATCATGTAATCTGTGAACTGAGATATTTATACTTTTTTTTCTCCCAGTTTGAACCCTTTCATTTCTTTTCCTTGGTTAATTGCTCTGACCAGAGCCATCCCATTTTAAATATTTTGCTCAGGTGATTATGGAAGCTGGCAAGTCTGAAATCTGTTGG